ACATGGATTTTGATATATTTTTCATATATACATATATATGATATATATAAATATATGCAAAATGCATGTGGGTACTCAAATGAAAGCTCTTGATGAGTGTAACATAAGGATGAGCTTATATCTTTAAAAAGTCAATATTTAAGAAAGTACAGTGCAATTTAACAAAAATCATTATTTAGTAAAGCAAAATTATTCATTTACAGTTCACATAGTGACTGCAAGGTTGCTAGTTTTTATTCATTATTTCATTTATATCCCGAGACTTAAACCGGATGGCAATAATAATTTTTTTTTATTAGTTGATAATTTAATTTAATTATTCCAGATAAAGATAAATTAATGTACTCACCTTGTAAATATTACCACCAGTCTGTGTGCAAAGCAACATATGATTACCGCTTTGATCAAAGGTAAACATTTTCCCGTGAACGGCGTTCTTTTCAATCTTTATTTTAGCCTCCCATACGGTTTTCCCCGTTTGGTTGAGACTTCTTTGGCACAACTTCCCATCTTCACTGAGAATACAGATATTGGTATAGTCATTTATCAGCTCGATATCAATCACAGGACTTGAGTGACACGTGAAATTATCAATCATTTCATTTCTTCGTAAATCGTGAATCAAAAGATTCCCATTAGAAAGCCCGGTGATCAACAGCTGACCATTGTGATTAAACACCGAGCACAAAGCTGTCAAGTTCCCGTCCATTGGTAAAGTTCGCTCGAGCTTACGAGTCTTGACGTCGTAGAGCAAAAGTTTACTTTCATTAGCGTCCGTAATAGAGCAGATAAATGTAGAGTCCAAGGGACTGCAAGTCAGTGACACAACACGTGAACCTTCGTGTTGGATTTCCCACAAGGTTTTGCAGTCTCTTGTATCGTGAAGTTGTATTGAGCCATTATTGTCACCATGCAAAAAATATCTTTCATTCTTTGAGATCCAGTCCAAAGAAGTTACTGCTTTGTTGGAGTTTGCTGTTGTCGAAGTAAATGTCGCAACAGTTCTGCAAGATAATTTAATAATATAAAATTAACAATTAGTCCAATTATTAAATTAAATTATAAAAGTAATTACTTTGGTGAAGGGATAGGTGTCCAAACTTTAATGACACCATCAGCATCTCCAGTAGCGACATACGATCCACTTGTATTACTTTTACATTGAATTATTGAAGTCTTGTGCTCTGTGTATTCTTCCTTTAATTTGATTTTTTAATTATCAATATCAATAAATTAAACCTACTAATAAAAAAAAAAAAAACTCTTACTTGGCTTAGAAGAATATAATTAGAATCAATTTTATCTTTGGCTTTGCGTTCTATAGTTGTATCAATAGGAAAATCTCGCTTTCTAGTTAACCTAGAGTCACAACTCATGCTTCTCTTTGCTACATCTCCTTTACTTAATGAATTAACTCGTCCTTTTGTGCATGTTCTTTTGGTAACTGTCGTGTCAAGATCACTTTTTTTGGTACTGGATAGAGATTTTCGATTTAAAATCGGACTTGAGCCTCCACCGATATTTTTAATTAAACTTCGTAGAGTTTTTGGATTTTCCAGCAATGGAGATTCCCTATAAATTTTATTTGCATTAAAGTTTATCAAAAAAAAAAAAACCTATAAATTTTTCTGTATTAGTACAATAATTTTTTATATTTATGATGCTATTTGATGATTTAATTGCAAATTGTAATTATAAATAAACAAAATTTTGCTTTACTCAATAATGAATTTTGTTAAATTGCATTGTATCTTGTTAACTATTGACGTTTTCAAAGATATAAGCTCATTCCGATGTTACATTCATCAAGAACTTTTATTTGACTACCCACTTGCATTTTTGATATATTTTTCATACATACATTTATACAACATATATATAATATATATAAATATATGAAAATTTGATGTAGGTACTCAAATGAAAGGTCTCCATGAATGTAACTCAAGGATGAGTTTATATCGTTAAAAATATCATCAGTAGATAAAATACAATTGTCATTTCTCAATTATTGACATTTTAAAGATATAAGCTCATCCCGATGTTACACTCATCAAGAGCTTTCATTTGAGTACTCACTTGCATTTTTGATATATTTTTCATATATACATATATATTTATATTTCAAATTTATATAATATATATAAAAAATTGATGTGGGTACTCAAATGAAAGGTTTCGATGAGTGTAATATCAGAATGAGCTTATATCGTTAAAAATATCATCTGTATACAAAATACAATGTCATTTCTTAATTATTAACATTTTCAAAGATATAAGCTCATCCTGATGTTACACTCATCAAGACCTTTCATTTGAGTACCCACATCAATTTTTCATATATTTTATGTATTTATATATGTAATATATATGTAAATATGAAAAATATATCAAAAATGCATGTGGGTAATCAAATGAAAGGTCTTGATGGGTGCAACATCAGGATGAGCTTATATCTTTAAAAATGTCAATAGTTCACGAGATACAAGGTCATTTTATAATTATGTATCTACAGATAGAGCATTTTCGAATGCAGCCGGCGTTTATTCTATAGAAATAAATAGATAAATATATACATACTGAGCAATAATATAAAAATCATCCATAATTGGTGGATGTTGCGGTGTGGACCCTGGATTAACGTCAGCAATATTGTCAATTTTATTGGATTCTGCGAGACACTGTTTCAGAGTTTCATTTTCTTCTTGCAGACGCTTCAATTTATTCGTATCCTCATCGATGGTAAGAAGTGTAGGTTGTGGCATACACTGTAAAAATTTCCAGAATCTTCTTCCGTTCACCAGCTCCACATTAACTATCATATACGTTTTTATTTTATGTAGATTGAATCGTTTGATTCATTTTTATTTACTCAGTATTTCATATAATTGAATTCTATACATATAAATTGCATCTATTTATTATATTTGTAAACAAAACTCACTTGAAAAATCATTGCTAAGAAATTGTGTAGTGAGACTAGCATCGTATCCTGCCACTGTTTGCTAAAATACACCGAATAAATTGGATTGTCCTCAGGATTTTTGGTAAATGGAAAAGCTAAATAAAATAAAATAAATAAATTTTATTACAAATAAAAAACTTATTTTTTTTATTTAAAATACCATACCAAACCATTCTTTCCACTCAGAGTGTCCCTGTAATTCTGGAGTCATTTTTGCAAAAAAATCGTGAATACGTTCCTGTTTATTATTAACTGCGGCATTAATAAGATACATTTTAAGTACTGAGTTTTCCAATTTTCTTACACTTGGAACAAAATAATTTTCTAGTCGACAAAACATTCGCGTGTCCAAGTGACCCCAAAGTTCTCTCAGTGAAACCAGATCAAATGTATAAATGTACTGCATTAATTGATCCACAATCTTATCAACCTAGAAAAAAATTTTTATTTAATAATAAATAATTATAATAAATCAAATTGAAATAATTATGATACTGAAATTACTTTTAAAAAATTTTATAACAAATCAATTACAATAAAAAAATGATTCTAAAAATTTTCACTTATAATCTAGATTATAAATGATAAATATCTTTATATATATAATAAATAGATTATTATACATGATAAAATGGGTTTTTATGGTTAAATTTAGTATCATGAGAAAGGTCGTGATTTGGAAGTGTGCCTTTTCAAGGTTTCATATTATTCTCACTTACAGTCAATTTATGATCTCTATCTCTAGATATATAATTAAAAAATGACTTATGAAATATTGACATATGTAAAAATATAAGCTCATCCCGATGTTGCACTCAATAAGACCATTCACTTAAGTACCCACATCAATTTTTCTTATATTTATATATTTATACATATTATATATATATATATATATATGTATATATGAGAAATATATCAAAAATGCATGTAGGTACTCAAATCAAAGCTCTTGATAAGTGTAACCTTGGAATGAGCTTGTATCTTTAAAAATGTCAATAATTAAGAAATGACCTTGTATCTTGTCAACTATTGACATTTTTAACGATATAAGCTCATCCTGAAGTTACTCTCATCGAGACCTTTCATTTGAGTACCCACATCAATTTTTCATATATTTATGTATTTATATATATTATATATATGTATATATGAAAAATATATCAAAAATACATGTGGGTACCCAAATGAAAGCTCTTGATGAGTATAACCTTGGAATGAGCTTATTTCTTTAAAAATGTCCATAATTAAGAAATGACCTTATATCTTGTGAACTATTGACATTTTTGAAGATATAAGCTCATCCCGATGTTACACTCATCGAGACCTTTCATTTGAGTACTCACATCAATTTTTCATATATTTATATATATATTATATATATGTATATATGAAAAATATATCAAAAATACATGTGGGTACTCAAATGAAAGCTCTTGATGAGTGCAACATTGGAATGAGCTTATATCTGTAAAAATGTCAATATTTAAGAAAGTACAGTGCAATTTAACATAAGTCATTATTTAATACAATACAAGGTTGCTAGTTTTTATTAATTTTCTCACATGAAAATTAAGTTAGTCGATATCCAAAAATTTTTAAGAATTTTTTTTTATTAAAAAATTTATCACAACATAAAAAAAAATTTTTCATTTGTAAAAAACTTGATAAACTAAATTACATTTTTAAAAAATATATTTTAGTACTAATTTAACAATTAAAAACATCGGCTAACTTTAGTATTATTTTTCCTATGCATAATTTTTTTATTAAATTATTTTTCATAATAATTTCATTGCTATAAAATTCTAATATCTGTTAACTTCAGTAGCATATAAATAATATAAAAAATACTTACTCGAAAGCCTTTCTCTTTTTCAGCTTTCAGTTCATTATCAAATGTCCGTAATGTTTGACTAAAACCGCGGAATAATAAATACTCTTTCACTAATTCATCAACATACTGTACGTGCGACATAATGTAATCACAGAAAATTTAAAAATTACTATATATTAATATAAAAAAAAAAAAAAAAATCTATATAATTGCCATCATTAGCTGATTAACAATATTTCACTCCTAGAGTTTCACACCAGAGATTTGCTCTTAAATCTTGATTACTGTTGGTTTATAATTATAAGTTATTTTCCTATATGATTATTATTACCAGCTCCAATGTATACGTACTTGCGAGTTGCGCGTACTGACGTAGTCACAGCATAGCACAGCGGCATAAAACGCTACTGCGGACATTGTGACGTCAGATCGGTAGCTATAATGTATAAGTATACATCCGCACTATATTCTATTGTCAATAATATAAGTACATCTGCTCATCTCTTATTATTCTTTTTTTTTTTTCCAAATAAAACTCTGGATATATTTGCAACAAATCCTTATCTAGAGACAAGTTTTTATCGCACAATTGTGTTTTATAACTTGGATTTAAAATTCTATTTTTAACGTTATATAATACCAAAAAATCTACTGCACGTTAAAACGATGAAATTTTATGTTTTTATCAATACTCTGCAATTATTTTTATTTTTATTTCCTCAAGGATTTTGTCAATATCAAAGAATTACAATTGAACTATTTAAATATTTTTGAAATATTAATTTTTGATGAAAATTAAGTTAGCTGATATTTAAAAATTGAAAAAATTTTTTTTATTAAAAAAATTATTATAAAAAAATAAGGAAAAAAAATTTCATTTGTAAAAATCTTGAAAAACTTTAAGTGGAATTTTTGAAAAATATTTTTTTCCAATTGAATAAATGAGAAAAAATTTTTAAAAATTAGAAACGTCGGCTAACTTTAGTATTATTAATTTTTTTAAAGAAATTGAAATTTCTTAAATATAATTAGTAATTATTTATATTCCGAAATTATTAGACTATTCTTTTACAATATTTACAAGCTTAATAGAAAATACAATTATGAATTTTTTTTTTTTTGGTAATTTTTTACAAGTGGGGGGCACTATTTTAATTTTAATTTTTTTAAACGCAATTTATGAAAATTAATTTAGCAGATATTTATCAAATTTTAATTACTTTTTTAATAAATTAGTGATTATCAATTATCAATTACTAAAAATTTGTATCTTTTTGTTTTTCTCTTCTCTCAAATCTCTTAAATTTTAAATCTATCTTCTCTTTATAGATACTATTTATTGTATATAAATATTACTAAACATTCTACACATGAAAATGTTAAATATTCTTGTAAATTACAGAGGGAGTTTCTTTACAAATAAATAAATAAATAAATAAATTATAGAAAAAAAAAAAATTGACATGTAGAAATTTTGAAAAGATAAAAATGGAATTTTTTAAAAATAACTTTTAGGAAGAAATTTATTTGTTAAAAAAAAATTAATAAATAGCCAAGGCTGTTCGTTTTTTTATGTACCTTTCAAAAAAATATATCAAAAACATCAAAAAAAGATAAAATAGAAATTTTATCTAAAAATATGAGAGCCAAAATATTTTTTCCAACTTTTGAAGGCAAAAAAGATATCGAAATTTTTATTTTTTTTTCTTTCATAACATTTTTTGTCATAAATGCGCCGTAAAAATAAGCAGAATAAAAAAAAATTGAAAATTTTACTCCACTTGTAAATAATTACCAATTATTTAAATTAATTAAAAAAATTTTGGTAAATATTTACAAGTGGGGTCAACCATTTTCATTTTAATTTTTTTGAACGAAATTTCTATTTGATTTTATTGATATATTTTTTTTTTTGAAAAATACATAAAAAAATGAATAATTGTAAAAAAAAGTTATCACATTTTAACAAATTTTCAAAAAAATTTATAAATTTTTTAAAAAATTGTTATAGGATTCAACCTTTTTTTTTTTAAATTGTTCGTTTAAAAAAAAAAAAATTGAAAAATGTTAATTTTTTACGTAGATATGGTCAAAAATAGGTTTGACCCCACTTGTAAATAATTACCTTCGTTTCTTACCTATCGATCACATTTAGACTGTTAAATTTATTTTTTAAACTTAAAAAAAACTAGATTAAATTATTTAAAATTGTAAATTAACAAAAGATTATTTTAATGCATTTAATTATTAAAAATTATACATCTAAATTTAATATATATATTTATAAAGGCACAATATTCCTGAAAAAGCACAGGCATTTCGCATTTAACAATTAATTTTCACAGCGTGTTTGCGAAAAATGCGTGGTAAAATTTTTTTGGTTTAAGTCTTTGGCGTTTAATAACTTTTAAATTAAAAAAAAATATTAATAAAGAAGTATGAGTTAATGCAGTAAAGTTGAATTACAAGTTAACATCTTCTTCGTGAGCTTTTGGAGCTTTTATCTCTTCAGTAGTATCTTTGGTTACACAGTCACATTCACATTCACAATCATCTTCTTTAATAGTTGTATGAACTTGTGCTACTTCTACTAACGGTACAGGCGCTGGTATCGATCCATCTTCATCAGCAATTGCGAAACCAATAGTCGCGCCTATCTTTTGAGTTGCATGCTTAAAAGAATCCGACAGCATCACCTATAATTGTACATATAATTATTTTATTTGTAGTAAAATAAAAAATTTTGCTAGAGGAATTCCAAAGGACGTCAGTCAATGTCTTAACGACCCAGCTTCATGTAACAAAGTTTTAGAACTACTAAAAAATCGCAACATATATAACGATCTATAAAATCTCTTCTATTAAGTCAGATGTATTTTTCAAAACAATAGTTTTTACAACTTAAAATCTAATCTATTAACAGCAAATGTTTAAACTTCTATCACTACGTCATGATAAAATTATCTTATTTAATTTAATATTTATAACTAACGAGATCTACAGCTTTTTAAGTAATTTTATACTTAATAAATTTTTGGTATGTTTTTAGAGTCAAATAATAAAATTTACTTTAAAAAAAAAAAAAATAAAATGTATAGGCTGTATATATAATAATTGTAGTCGCTAATAGCCTAGATGTTGATGCGACTTTAAACAAATAAATAAAAAAAAAAAAAATTTTTAAACATTTACACATACCTGAACAACATTTATACACATGGAAGTCAAGGCTAGACCAAACACTAAGTAGACTATTGAACACATCATGTAAATAGGGTGCTAAAAATAATTTAATGATTAAGAAATTATTGAATAAGCTTATTGATAATTAATTTAAACAAAATTTGATATTTTGTTTGTAAAAATCCTGCATCAGCAAATTTTCTTACCATCTAGATCCAGCGTGAAAACAAAATGCAAGAATCAGCAAATTAATATTCAAATTTTATGCAAAAGCTTAACTAGATATGAAACATGCATTGTTTACTTTAACAACCATGTAGCATAAAAATATCTTCAGCAAATTGAAAAAAAAAAAAAATAATTATTATAATTACCTTTGGTACATAATCGCCAAAGCCAATTGTGCTCATGGATATAAAAACAAAGTAGAAGCTTTCAAAAAAGCCCCATTGTTCCCACAAATTGAATGCAGTTGCTCCAACAAATATGTAAGCTAATAAGATAGTAATTGCTACGGAAATAGGTAAATTAAATTCATCATTTATGGCGAAATTTGAGAATTCTGGTGTCACTGGAGTCCCAGGCTGGCTCACAGGTATATTAGCGTCAAGATTGAGAACTGTTTGCTGTTTCTGCATTTCAGCTAGTTCTTCAGGACTCAGTTCTGATGGACGTCTGAACGTTGCAAGATCATAAACCAATTGAACGCCTTTCATCACTTCCTAATAAGGTCATATCGTTGATAATAAAAATAAGTATTGTTAATTTTTTTTTCTTTTGCTAATTTAATAATTACTTGAACAGGAGCAGTTCTTCGCACTCGCCGACAACTTCCTGTGTAGTAGAGTCTTCTTACATATGCCCAAAAAAATTTGATGCACCTTGTAAAAAGTTTACCAAAATCAGCGAGTATAATAAGGAACAACGGGATGCCAAAAATAGCGTAGACAATTGTGATAGCTCGGCCTGTCGTTGTGGTCGGTGCTATATGGCCATATCCTGATATAAATAAAAAAACAATAATTAACTATATAAAAATTTATCAACGGATAAATTATCAAGTATAATTATTATAATAAAATAAATTTTAAGTCAAGAAATCAACGGCACGCCTCACCAATTGTTGTAATAACAGTAAGACAATAAACAACCGCATTGAGAAAACTCCAGCTTTTTTGACCACTGTACGATTGTACTCCAGCTTCGTGAGCTGCATGTAACTGTTCTTCCAATTCCATCAATTTCTTCCTCGCCATACTTTTCCAATCGTCTTCCCGCATATTGTGACTGTAATTCCAGAGACTGTCTAAAAAGTCACGTTTTACCCGCTTAACTCCGCACTTGTAAAATGTCTCAAAAGCTCCCTCGGTAAAGCGAAAAATAAAAGCTCCTAATCCGCAATATATAATTATCAAAATTAACTGAGCAACACATTTATTACGAATTTTGCGAATTAAATAAACCTCCCGAGGACTTTGGTCTACATAAGCGCGAAACTCAGCTCTAATATCCTTTAAAGCTCTTATAAATTCAATTATCCTTGAAGATTTTTGGACTTTGGGCTTAATTTCTTCGTTTTTAGACTCAACAACAACTTCTTTTTTTTTAGGTTCAACTTTACTTTCTTCCGGCTTAACATTTCTTTTAAAAAATCCAAACCATGTCCAAAAAGATTTTTTTTCCTCAATTTTCTCTTCTGTTTTTTCTTTCAGATTTATTTCACGTGTTTTTTTCCTTTTACGTTTTCTCAAAGCAGCTTCCATCTTTGGATTAACATAGTCATCAATTTGTACATCGAGAATTCCCAATTCCCTTCTCTCATAATAATCTCTCTCTGCTTTCTTAAAGTCTTCAATGAGACTATCGCTGCTCAGAGGTATAATCTGTTTGCCAACAAGTGTCAGCGTTTTTGAATAGATAACCGGCATCTCTTCTGTACCTTGACTTTCTTTATTAGATTTTTCTTCATTTTTCTTCTCTTTATTATCTTTTTCTTCATGTTTCTTCTCTTTATTAAATTTATCTTCATGATCCTTCTCTTTACTATCTTTTTTATCTTTAAAATCTTTCTCCTTCAAATCTTTCCGTAGTTTCCTTGATTTTTTTTTTCTTTCTTCAAAATCACTCTTACTAGATCTATCATCTTCAGCAAGACTCGAATCACTGGAACTTCTTCGTTCCTTTGAACGCCTAGTTCTCCGTCTCACCGCTGCTTTATCTCCATGTGACGACGACGAGGAAGATGATTTAATCCTTCTATTTGACTCCGTTCTATTTTCGTTCACTATTGGTTCAGTCAGAACCATATTAACATTAGCAGCAATAGCAATAGCAGTAGCAGAAGCAATTGCAGCAGTAGATTTTTCTTCAACCTTTTTCTCCAACTGCATTAAATCTTTCCTTTTATCATCAACCTTAGCATCTATTTTAATTTGACTCTTCTCCAAAACTACTAAACCTAATTGGTTTTTCATTTCAGCAGCTTCTGCCATTTGCTCTTCAATAATAGACGTAGGACTGGATGAGTGTGACTTCAATCTTCCATCAACAGCCAACTCCTCCATCTTTTCAGTATCTTCAACCATTTGTTCCATTCGCGCTCTAGCCTCCAGTATTTTTTTATCCTCATCATCATTTTCTTCATCAATATCTTTAGCAATAGCCGCAGTAACAGCTCGTGAAGGTTCTGGAGTTTTATCACGTCTCCTAGCAGCAGCTTTACGCCGTCTGTGCACTGTATAACTGTCTTCCATCTTAATAACGATCCTCGTCACTATGTACAAAAGACAAGACTGAAGAAGACAAAAATAAAGTTCAGCTCCCACCACTACTGCTACTACTACCCATCATCTACACAAACACTACCAGTGCGCTACTCATAAAATTTTTTTTTTAAACTTTACCCAGATGACAAATCTCATTCAAATTCTTTAAATATTTATAACTCATCGTTATCTAAAATAATTTATTTCATTTATTATTTATCATTTATAATTTTCTGGATCATTTCTAACTAAAATACCGAGTTACATTTAGATCAGGTCAGCTGCTAAAATTACAATAAATTTTATCTATTTCAGCTCTTGAGATTTTCTCGGTGAATTTCATCTTGTTTTTTTTTTTTTTTTTTCTTCTTCTTCTTACGTAAACTGTCACATTCCCGAAATAGGACGCGTGGGATCTCAATATTTGTGCCGCGAAAAAATTATTAGAAAATCGATTAAAAATAATAATAGTATAATTGGAAAAAAACATATCTTCAATAATTTATTAGATCTCTAGCGATAATGAAATTTAATAATAATAATAAATAATACTTACCAATTGTTGTGTAAATAGTACCGGCATAAAACATAGCATTCCAAAATGTCCAAACTTTTTGATTGTCATTGAGTAATGCATGCTTGTAGTATTCCTTCAATTTTAGCTCATAATTCATCAGCTCATTAGCTGTTTTTCCTCTCCACCTGTCTGCATGATCAAACAAATTTTTGTCCAGACAATATTCTCTTATCACGCGTATTGTTTCATTTCTGTCTTTTCTAATGTCCAATATAATATGATCTTCGTGACGGCCTTCGACGTAAACGAATATAAATGCTCCAGCGACACTGTATAATAGCATTATTACGGACAAAAAAATATGCGTGAACCAACGCTTGCTCCACGAGCTTACCTTAAATAAAATTTATTTATATAATAAATTAACTCTAATCTGCTTTATACAGTGATTGAAGTGAATATGGTGATTATAATAGAAGAATTTATAATAATAAATAAAAAAAATACAATGAAAATTAATTTGGTAATTTTTAGAATTTTTGTTAACAAATAAATTATGGCAAAAAAAAATAAGAAAAAAAAATTGACATCTAGAAATTTAAAAAAATAAAAAATGGAATTTTTTAAAAATAATTTTTTATAATAAAATTAAATATTAAATAAAATTAAAAATTGATCAGGTGATAGCTAACTTTAATATAAAAATATAATGATATTTAGCATTAATTTAATTTGCGGCTTTGAATTTTTTAATTTTTTTTTTTAATAATTAAATTAGAACAAAAAAATATTTTTAAAAAATTTGCAGAATAAAAGTAATTAGCCAATACTGTTATTTATTATTAAATTAAATTCTTTTGTGCTGTGGTCTTTTTATCAATGTAATTGAAATTAAAACATAATTATTTATTTAAACTATTTAATATTGTTGATTAAAATATACAAATATTTTAGCTTAATTATGCTACTTGAATTTTTGTTCTATTATTTAAAAAATATACTGTTGAACTTTATAATTATTTCTTGAACTTTATAAAATATTCTTCTCATTTAACAATTTAACAATAATTTCAATAATCATAATTAATAATTAATTTTTAGGAATAAAAGTAATTAGCCAATACTGTTATTTATTATTAAATTAAATTCTTTTGTGCTGTGGTCTTTTTATCAATGTAATTGAAATTAAAACATAATTATTTATTTAAACTATTTAATATTGTTGATTAAAATATACAAATATTTTAGCTTAATTATGCTACTTGAATTTTTGTTCTATTATTTAAAAAATATACTGTTGAACTTTATAATTATTTCTTGAACTTTATAAAATATTCTTCTCATTTAACAATTTAACAATAATTTCAATAATCATAATTAATAATTAATTTTTAGGAATAAAAGTAATTAGCCAATACTGTTATTTATTATTAAATTAAATTCTTTTGTGCTGTGGTCTTTTTATCAATGTAATTGAAATTAAAACATAATTATTTATTTAAACTATTTAATATTGTTGATTAAAATATACAAATATTTTAGCTTAATTATGCTACTTGAATTTTTGTTCTATTATTTAAAAAATATACTGTTGAACTTTATAATTATTTCTTGAACTTTATAAAATATTCTTCTCATTTAACAATTTAACAATAATTTCAATAATCATAATTAATAATTAATTTTTAGGAATAAAAGTAATTAGCCAATACTGTTATTTATTATTAAATTAAATTCTTTTGTGCTGTGGTCTTTTTATCAATGTAATTGAAATTAAAACATAATTATTTATTTAAACTATTTAATATTGTTGATTAAAATATACAAATATTTTAGCTTAATTATGCTACTTGAATTTTTGTTCTATTATTTAAAAAATATACTGTTGAACTTTATAATTATTTCTTGAACTTTATAAAATATTCTTCTCATTTAACAATTTAACAATAATTTCAATAATCATAATTAATAATTAATTTTTAGGAATAAAAGTAATTAGCCAATACTGTTATTTATTATTAAATTAAATTCTTTTGTGCTGTGGTCTTTTTATCAATGTAATTGAAATTAAAACATAATTATTTATTTAAACTATTTAATATTGTTGATTAAAATATACAAATATTTTAGCTTAATTATGCTACTTGAATTTTTGTTCTATTATTTAAAAAATATACTGTTGAACTTTATAATTATTTCTTGAACTTTATAAAATATTCTTCTCATTTAACAATTTAACAATAATTTCAATAATCATAATTAATAATTAATTTTTAGGAATAAAAGTAATTAGCCAATACTGTTATTTATTATTAAATTAAATTCTTTTGTGCTGTGGTCTTTTTATCAATGTAATTGAAATTAAAACATAATTATTTATTTAAACTATTTAATATTGTTGATTAAAATATACAAATATTTTAGCTTAATTATGCTACTTGAATTTTTGTTCTATTATTTAAAAAATATACTGTTGAACTTTATAATTATTTCTTGAACTTTATAAAATATTCTTCTCATTTAACAATTTAACAATAATTTCAATAATCATAATTAATAATTAATTTTTAGGAATAAAAGTAATTAGCCAATACTGTTATTTATTATTAAATTAAATTCTTTTGTGCTGTGGTCTTTTTATCAATGTAATTGAAATTAAAACATAATTATTTATTTAAACTATTTAATATTGTTGATTAAAATATACAAATATTTTAGCTTAATTATGCTACTTGAATTTTTGTTCTATTATTTAAAAAATATACTGTTGAACTTTATAATTATTTCTTGAACTTTATAAAATATTCTTCTCATTTAACAATTTAACAATAATTTCAATAATCATAATTAATAATTAATTTTTAGGAATAAAAGTAATTAGCCAATACTGTTATTTATTATTAAATTTAATTATTTAAAAATAAAAAAAAAAAAAAATAACGATGCCCCGCAGGACGCGAACCCGAACCAGTTAATTGGCAAGCGAGTAAAAGCAACCCGCGCTAACGGCTGGTTATTAGAGAAAAATCAGAGGTAAATGATAAACTGCGCTTGAGAAAAACCGGTTTAACTCTATAAATAAATAGTTTGGTTTATTTATTGAAATTGGGGTTGTTAAATTAACAACTACTGCTAATTAATATTATTTGAGGGTGAAAATAATTTTTATCAATGCCAGTTTGTTATTTTCAATTTATTTATTATTTTCAAAAGAGTTAGCATGAAAGTACTTTAGGCATGCACTAGTACTTCTGACACATTTGTGGCGGCGCGACAGCTTGACACATTTCCCATCATGCATTGCAGGATTGGAATACCTTCTTATATATTATCTTACTTGAAATTATTAAATTTAATCAGCACAAACTATAGTAACGCAAAAATTTCGATCCTGACTTTTTTTTGATGGGCAAAGTGATCTGCCACAGACTAATTAATTCGAGAATGCATAGTAATCCTTGATTAGATGGGAAACTACAGTTAAAAAAAAGATATTTCGTAGCTTGCATCTACACCCGCCAGGGTGCGTTGGAATTATTTTTACATAAACTGTAGCTTTAAGGGAATAGTTTGCTATAAAAAATGCAGTCAACGCGAGATTTAAGTTGGTACCAATTGTAATTTTTTATTTTAATTACAAAAAATACTAAAATCCGAACAAAAACAGTTTTACTGTAAAAAAATCGCGCCAAGTCCACGTTCATAAGATTATTAAGAAAAAAAAATTAGTTTTTTCTTTCCAAAAAGATATAAAATAAAAAAATTAAAAAGTCCAAGTAACCGATATGATTGTTTATTATTTTCGGAAATTAAAAAAAATTTTGTTATATTTAAAAGTTAAAAAAAAAATTTTGGAACGTACTTGGTGTGCGTTATATTGTGCATTTCAATTTTTTTAAAGTCCTATTAAATAGATTTTACGAATTTAATTAAGAGTAAAATATTTTGCAACCGCGCACACCAAGTACGTTCCAAAATTTTTTTTTTAATTTTTAAATTTACAACAAAATTTTTTGTAATTTCGGAAAATCATATACAATCATATTGGTTACTTGGATTTTTTAATTTTTTTATTTGATGTCTTTTTGTAAAGAAAAAACTAATTTTTTTTTCTTAATATTCTTATGAACGTGGACTTGGTGCGATTTTTTTAGAGTGAAACTGTTTTTGTTCGGATTTTAGTATTTTTTTTAATTATAATAAAAATTTACAATTGATACCAACTTAAATCTCGCGTTGGGTGCATTTTTTTTATAGCAAACTATTCCCTTGAGGCTACAGTTTATGTAAAAATAATTCCAGCGCACCCTGGCTGGTGTAGATGCAAGCTGTGAAATATCTTTTTTTGACTGTAGTTTCCCATCTAATGAAGGATTACTATGTATTCTCGAATTATTTAGTCTGTGGCAGATCACTTTGCCCATCGAAAAAAAGTCAGGATCGAAATTTATATTATTCGTTCAGTTGAACGTTCGAAACTTCAAGTACATGAAATTTTTGCGTTGCTATAGTTTGTGCTGATTAAATTTAGTAATTTCAAGTAGATTAATTGTTATATGTGAATATAATTAATTAATAACAGTAAAATAAAGTATGAATTACTGTTATAATATACAATTTATGAAAAAAAAGTACCGTAGAATTAAATCAAATTTTGCAACCTCAAAATACCGTTCTGCTTAGAGTAAACACAGTCGGTAGTCTGGCGCTCCGTTGACAACGGATTTGAACGGAACTTGGCGCCAGATTCTACCGAATCTGTGAATCTGTGGATTATGACCTCTCAATGGAAACAAAACAAATTTCATCTAGTTGGCGCTTGGATCTCATAGATGTCGCAGTTGTGTAATTGCTAAGATGAAGCGCTTGTCGGCGCCACAAGAGGGTGTAAGGAGAAGAGAACGATGAAACGGATCGACCTTGACGCCTTGACGGTTAGAGTGTCTAAAGTGACGGCAAGGCGGTCTCTGTTCCACCTTTCTGCACTCTTCCACTGAGCTCTGATCCGCTCTCTCTATTCCGTGTGAGAAAAAAAACCGAGTCTGCTGCTGGTTGATACGAGTAGGCTTATGTGGTGAGTGCGAGGGAGTGAGTGCGAGGAGAAGAGTTGTAGAGTCAGAGACAGTCGTATCGGTTTTGTGTATTCTCTATCCCGGGAACGGGAACAGAAGGTAGCATAGCAAGCGTTGCCGTCAAGGCGTGCTTGGTCTCAGTTTAGCCAAACTACAACGTCCATTGTGTTATCCTTGTTGCGTGTAATGGCCGCCAACGGGTTTGTTGACGCCGCTATTCTTTCCGTTTTACAACTAAGAGTTGTTGCTCGATGATGTCGCGCATCGAGCGCCTCTGAGAACGATCGATTGAGACACTTGATCGGCTAAACGTTATAATTATTTTTTTTTTCGCGCCCCCCCTCGAGTGTGTGACCACGACGCCTGACCTGAACTATCATATATATACATATATATATATATATATCCATAATTATATACGAGCAAGTTTTTTTACTAGCCATCAAGACAAGTTGTTGAAGAGTGAATCCACAACAGCCACCAACAACCTCATCTTCATCATCATCATCATCATCATCATCATCGTCATTACCAGCAACCAGCACAACCTTACACTTGGTCGTCATGAACTTAGCGAGCTGCCAACGCTCTATTCTGACAACTGTGTCGCCCTGACGTGCCCACACATTTAAATCATCATCACCACAAGGCAAATAAAATAGGACCAACAATTTAATAAAAAAAAAAAACCGGAAGGTCCTTGAAAAATTACACCAAGTTTTACAAGATTGACCTTTGCCCATCGCGTCCTTCTTTCTCTGACCTCTTTTTTACCTAAACCCTTTTTGTTAAATCGTGATTGAGCTCCAACTTATGTCCGGTAGTTGTATATATTTAAATATTAATATTAATATATATATATATATATTAAATAATAATAATAATTAAAGTGTTAAATATTGTGAGGGAAAAAAAAATATTTTTGGGAGTATTTATACTGAGATAATTAATTGTTTCAATCAATCTCCCGCGCACTTACCGCCGCTGCGGTTATGGCAACTCACCGATCATCCGGGTGCGTTAAACTGGACACTGAGATTGTATAGTGATAATTACAAGTGAGTATATGTGTAACTGATAATACGGTCATAGTTAATTTGTTTTTTTTTTTTTTTTTTTTTTTTTTTTTTTTCAAAAAATTTTTTTCTTTTTTTTTCTACCGTGGGGTCGCGCATATTGCAAAGCCGACTTTAATATCCACCTCGCGGCATCCTGGCGGCATGACTTTTGATCAGGGACAAAGGGAGGGGGGAGGGTAGTCTACTGACCACAGAATTTACCACATTGATTATATATAAAATTAAAATAAAAAATCATTGACTAACATAGAAAGTAACGTGAAAATAAAAATATCTAAAATAATTTATTTATAAATCGTGTAATTGATAAAATTCCTCTTCAGCAGTAGCAGTTAACAGTATCGTCCAGTATCAAGCGGCATCACACATCAGATTAGATCTTGATTTGTTATAACGGATGTCCATTGATTGCGCAGGGTCATAAGCAGCGCATCAATGGCCCTAGAGTCAAATGGTAACAACGTGGTTTGGTTGAGTACAACAACCCATCCTGATCAAATACAGCAGGTATGCCGCCGCGCGAATATATCAAACCGCAGGGACAATTCTAGTGCTTACCGTGAAATAGTCTTTGCTACGGGGCTTTCTTTGTTTTATTATCATTTTATTTTTTTTTTAATATAATAAGAATTATTTTTAATTTACATGGAAAGAACAAGTTACACTGGATATCATCACAGATTATACTCAGTGATATCTGTGGTGAAAAAAGAATTTCTGATAGTACATGGAAAGAACAAGATGACACTGGATATCATCCTAGATTATACACTGATAGAAGGATTTATTAACTGTTAATAATTCAATTTATTTAAAGACAATTATTTAATTTATTAAATTTTAATAAATATTTATTAATGAATTTAATTATTATCATGTATTTCAACTATAGAGTTATAAAAAATGTCAAAAGAAAATTGCTATTTTTACTTTTGATTTTAAATAAATATTTGTTAACAGTTAACAAATATTCATTAATCATTAATAAATATTTATTATTAGTTAATAAACTGTACTTAATAATTACTTATTAAATGTTGATGAATATTTATTAAATCCTATTATGTTAAAAAATCATTTATTAACAGTTAATAAAGCTTATTAAATATAAAGAAATCCTTCTATCAGTGTACTCGGTGAAAAAAAAAAAAAATTCAGATAGCTAGTATTACCAGATTACAATGAGTATAATTCTGACATCACTTACTATAATCTGGGATGATATCCAGTGTCATCTTGTTCTTTCCGTGTATACTAATAAATGGAAAGCCGGTTATACTGCGAAAACTACTGAACCGATCGAAATAATACTTATCCCATAAGATGCAGCGTATTTCGGAGAAGGTTTTAGTATATGATATGGTGGTGATTATTTATCCGGAACCTATATTTTTTTGACTTAGAAATAATGAATTTTTATTGTAACTAAATTTATTCTATTCGATTGTCATTTGTTTAAAATAAATTTTTTAATTCTATTGGCTATGTTTATACACTAGCCAGATTTTTTCACTCATGAGACCTGCAATTTTTTTAACTGAAACTTTCAATGCTCATTAAAAATTTTTTTTTCATATCAATTATTAATTTTTGTAAGAAAGACACGGGAATGTTATAATGATTGCACATTGAAAGTTACAATGAATATTAGCTAGAATAATTACATGGATAAAAGGTGCATGCCAATTCGATAGAATTGGGAATCTGTGCAAGTCAAAACAATACTCCAATTAAATTTCAAATCTAGATCTAAAAATGCAATTCTATAAAGCGCCCAGCGCTTAATTAATTAAAAAATTAATTTATAAATTAATTTTTTTTTTTTTTTTCAGCATATTGTTGTCAAAGACGAAACACTTCAAATTGAAGACGCTGAGGATCAGCATAGATTTCAACGGGATTTGATTAAAATTCCAAATCAATCGAGTCAACAGATTGAGCAACCAGTCAAGTGTTCCATGTTTACTCAAACGGAGCAGACTAATAGTTTTACACAAACAGAACAAAGTAATTCTAGTTATACAGACCAACGTCAGGTTATTATCTTAAATTTTTTATTTATTTTATTTTATCAAAAATCATCAATTAATTAATTGATTAATAATTATTATTGTTTATTTATATAATTTACAGCCTCAATTAGCAAACATGTTTGACCCACAACAAATTCAGCAGCAGCAAGCTGCTCAAAGTCAGCAATCACAGCAGCAACAAACGCAACAGATGTATGTTACTGAAAAAAAAGAAGACAAATCTCAGCAACAAACAACAACAGCTGACTTTCCATTTTATTACAATGTTAACAATCTTAACATTTTGCAAAAAGTACAGACTAATGCCGTGAGCACAATTAGTGCAATAGCCACCGATGATAAAGGTTGTTATCGCTTTGATGTCCAGCCAGTTGCTGGTTACAACTCTTTGCTTAATCAAATGAGCATTGCCGCGGCAACAAATCCTACCAATGCTACTTTTAAGTGTGACTTGTGTGGCCTTATATTTGGTCACATGAGTTTACTTACTCACCACAAAAGAGTTCATAATAACACGCCGAGTAATCTTCAGCAGCCTCAACAAGCTGTAGTACCTACTCCTACGACTGTTACGATTCCTACCACACCTGAGCGCCCGTACACCTGTGATGTCTGTGGTGCATGCTTTGCGTTACCTGGTGAATTAAAAAGCCACAAAACGAATATGCATCAAAAACCAAAGGTGCAAGCTTGTGAAGAGTGTGGGAGTGAAGATCCTTGTGAACATAATCCTACTAAAGTTAAAAAGAGTAAGTTTTTTTTTTTTTCGTTTTATATTTATTGACTTATTTCAATTAATTGAATAATTTTATTTTTGATTTATTTAAATAGCAATCAAACCTGGACATCATCCCGTCAAACGACGAGGAGTAACCAGTGTTACCAAGTGCCACAAATGCAACGGAACCGGAATTATTTTTATCGGTAAGTCCGTTTTACATATTTATTAAGAGGAACCTTGAATTATAAAAGTAAAAACAAGTTAATGATGTTTCCTTGTAATAAATGATTTTGATTTATAACGTTTGTATTTACAAAAAAAAAATTTGGAAAATCCAAAAGTGCATGACTCATAATGCTCATTTAAGACTCTCCGGGTTTATTAATCCGCAAAAATTACCCACGTCAAAATTTTTCAAGACAAAATTTATCACAACGCAAATTAATTTGACGAAAATTAATCATCATTTAAAACAAATGATCTGTGATTAATTTTCGGATAGGCACTGTGTTGTGCCCTTTTATTTAAAATAAATAAATAAGGTACCGGCGGGTAATAAGGCCTAGCTAAGGGAGATTTAAAAAAAATTGAAAATATTGCATTTAATTATTGAAATGTATCATTAATTTTTATATTAATACATAAGTCATAAAATATAATGGAGTAATGGTAATTTTAACCATAAACAAACACAAAATTAAATTTTTTCAAAAATCTTGCGAGTAGGCCTTATTTTACTACGGTAGGGTAATAAGACCTGCGGGTTAAATATGATGAAAATAATTGTACTATACTTAATAAAATTGGTAATAGAGATCAATCATCATTTAAATTTAACAACAATACTTTTTAAGATGTTGATAAAAATTAGAACAATAATTTAAAATTATTAAATACAAAATTATAAAAAATGTTTACCATTTACTCAAATCGTTTTTTAGGAATTCTGCGCTCTATAAACTTGTAGCAAAATTTCTATGCTAGACGCTTCTACTAGAGAAGTCTTTAGCGGAAGCGGTTATTTTAAAAATCAGTTCTATCACTTAGGCCTTATTTATTTAATATCAATTATAAATTTAATTATATTGAGAGTTAATGAGAAGTTTTGGTATAAGAAAATATATTCGAAGATATTTTTGCTATGAGAAAATATTGCTAGGATAAAATATTACATAAGAAATTATTGATGATGATGATAAATTTTGTCGTAGGTAATTATCACATGAGAAATAAAAGACAATCACCCTCATTTAATTATGAAATAATAAAATAAAGCGAATGTAAAAACAATATCAAACATCTGAAATAAGATGATAATATGCACGTGCCTCTAGTAGGATAAATGTACTCATTATATATAGATACACAGTTCTTCGGCTTTTTTTTAATTTTATTAATTGCAAATAAACGACTCTATCTAGCCATTCGCATTTGGTAACCTACAATTCTTTCAAAAAATTTTTCAAAAAAAAATTTGACTCAATCAATGGATTTTTTTACAAGTTACAGTATTTTCACGGTTTCATACATGACAAACAGGGAAATTTTTTAAACTATTTTAATGTTTTTTTCCGTTTCTATTGCACTTAATAAATTTTTGAAGAAAATGGAATTAATCTCTATTAAACTATCTTGACAATAGTATGCAAAATATCTTGATTTCGTGAACTAAAAAGACTATAATAATAAAAATAGTTGCCGAAATAAGGCGAAAAAAAATTTTTCGATCGTAAAGTACTCTCTAATGCTTCGCATCATGAGTCGTGCAAAAAAAAAAAAAAAATCGTAGACTTATTTAATATGAATACAAGGAAAGTATCATAATTTTTTGTTGTTCGATTATAATTCACATATCCCCATTTCCATCATACTGTCATTTCATTGCTGTCATATAATCGTACATCGGGTGGTGTATGATAGGTAAAGATGAAGAAAAACTAGATTCTGGAATCAGTTCTCTTGCGAAGTGTGGCGTCTGCAAGGCAACTGGTCACATCACTATCGGAAGTAAGTCGGAATAATGAAATCCCAACCAAAGAAAAAAAAAAAAAAAAAGTCAGAAATTTATTTCTGAACTTTAATATTCTTGTTAAAGAATATCTTTGGTTTTTCTTCCAGATGGTGACAGTTCTGATTTTATATGATTCAATTTATTTTGTGATTGCCAATCGTGAATTGAAAACTTTTTATCAATAGTTGCATGTCTTTGTAGTTATGTTCATATAACACTCGTATTAATAATGATAAAAAATTAAATAATTATTAAAAAGGGTAGTAGAACTGTCAGCATTTAAACCTAAGGACGATTTTACGGAATGAAATCTCCCCTAAGGGACAGTTTTATAAATTTCCGAATCATCATCATAATCAATAACGCATTTAACAATAATAATAATAATCAGTGCCATATATATTCATTTTTATTTCATTATATTCATATTTATTATTTTTACAATCTAAAAATCAACTGTTAATAATTAAAATAATAGCGTTTTATTTTATTTTTTCTTCCAATCGAGATACGGGCCACTAAAAAATACATCATGAGACCTTCGGAGAAAATTGTTTATACTGATATATGAATCCTTTTATTTAAATTATCTTTTATTTTTGAAATTTACAATTGTTTGTGTATATAAATAAATAATTTTTCAATAAAGATAATTTTTAGTAATTATCACAACTTACGAACGTCTCATGTGTTCACGGTGATAAAATGTATTTGTAGAACTGGCCCTTCGAGGAAAACTAATACTCCCGTCCCATTTATAATTTCAGGCGGCAAACAAAATCAGAACCAGCCAGAGAAGCCATTTCATTGTAATGTTTGCGACGGGACATTTTCACGCTACTCGTCACTCTGGTCTCATAAGAGACTTCATTCTGGAGACAAGCCATTCAAATGTGAAGTCTGTGGTTTGGCCTTTGCAAAAGGTAAATATTTTAAATCTATATTGATTAACAATAATAATTTATATTATTAAGAAAATAAGCAAAATTTAGTGGCTAGTGTATTTATATGATGAAATGGGTTTTTATGGTTAAATTTGGTATCATTAGAAAGGTCTTGACCTGGAATTGTACCTTATCATGATTTCATATCATTTTCACCAATAATAAATTTATGATGATAAGTATTTAGGCTGCTTTCAAAAAGACTCTATCTCTAGACACATAATTAAGAAATGACCTTGTATTTTGTGAAATATTGACATTTTTAAAGATATAAGCTCATCCCGATGTTACACTCATCAAGACCTTTCATTTGAATACCCACATGAATTTTTCATATAATTTTATATATATTATATATATGTATATATGAAAAATATATCAAAAATACAAGTGGGTACTCAAATGAAAGCTCTTGATGAGTATAACATCAGGATGAGCTTATATCTTTAAAAATGTTAATAATTAAGCACTGACATTGCTATCTTATTAACTAATAACATTTTTAAAGATATAAGCTCACCCCGACATTATACTCATCGAGACCTTTTATTTGAGTACCCACATCAATTTTTCATATATTTATATATATTACATATATGTATATATGAAAAATATCAAAAATGCAAGTTGGTACTCAAATGAAAGCTCTTGATGAGTGTAACATCGGGGTGAGCTTATATCTTTAAAAACGTCAATAGTTCAGAAATTACAGTGCAATTTAATAAAAGTCATTATGTTTAATTAAGCATAAGTTTATTTATTTATAATTCACAACTCATGGCAGTCACATAGTGACTGCAAAGGTGCTAATAATCATAATAATAATAATAATAATAATAATAATAATAATAATAATAACAATAACAATAAATTGATTATTATGTATTAGCAATATATAAACTAAATAATTTAATAAATTTAACAGCTGCGTATTTGAAAAATCACGGACGTGTTCATACTGGTGAAAAGCCTTTCAAGTGTAGCGTATGTGGTATGCAGTTCTCGCAGAGCCCTCACTTGAAGAATCACGAGAGAATTCATTCAGGCGAACGCCCGTATCAGTGTGAAGTGTGTGAAAAAACATTTGCGAGACACTCAACCCTGTGGAATCACCGAAGAATTCATACTGGTGAAAAACCATACCGTTGTAATACATGTGGTTCAGCTTTCAATCAAGCGACGCACTTGAAAAATCACGCCAAGGTTCACACCGGCGAGAAACCTCATAGGTAAATTTCATTTAAACTTTTACATTTATCCAGACAATAATTTTAATATCCAACTACCATAATTTAATTCTAGATGTGATATTTGTGAGATTGGATTTTCCGATCGTTTTGCTCTAAAACGTCATCGTGCTATTCATGAAAAGTACGGTCAAACTGCGCGAAACCAGAATGCGAACAATGCAAGTAATACGCAGCAGCCGAACACTAGTAATCAACAGCAACAACAGCAGCAGCAACAGCAACAGCAGCAACAACAACAACAGCAGCAGCAACAACAGCAACAACAGCAGCAACAACAACAACAACAGCAACAACAGCAGCCCCAACAAGCTCAACAAGGGCAACAAGTTGTTGTAGTAAATGCCACTACGCCTGTAACTGTTAGTCAAGGCCAAGGACAAACAGTGATGATTGAAGACGTTTATAAATGTCAAGTGGCCTTCCCGGAGCCTAAATGATTTGATACTTGAAGGACTCCTGCCAAAAGTGGTGCTGAGCCGAATGAGGTTATTGCATCTTCATTTACTTTTAATACAGTATAAAAAAAAATATTACAGTGGGAATTCCAATGTTTTGTCATTTTGATTAAATTAAATTAATCAAAGGTGTATGTGCAACGCATTTTTATATGAACAATTGACAAGAGCGATGCCGTTCATCTTGGGATTAAAAAAGAATATTTTAATTAATTAATTAATTAATTGATAAGTCATAAGCCAATCGACATTGTAAGCTTTATAAATAATGATTAATTATTATTATTATTATAATTATTAAAAAAAATTGTACGTGATAGAGCGTGGTTACGGTGACTTGGATAGCATGAGCCGGAATTTTTTTTTAATAATACATATTTTTGTCCATCATTATTTATTAATTAGATTTGGTAAATTAATTTTTGATTAAATATCTTAGAATAAGAGGCTGAAAAATTATTAAAACAAAATTACACGGAAAGAATAAGATTACACTGGATATAATCCCAGATTATACTAAGTGAAAAAAAAAATTCAGATAGTAGCTACAAAAATCCAGATTGTACTGAGTGATATCTGGATTATACTCATTGTAATCTGGATTATACACTGAGAAAAAAAAATTTTGTCTAGAAAAAAATTTCTTGGCTCAAGTATCGTTTAAAATAAATTTTGGTTTTTTGACACAAAAATTTAATGTCTAGCTGATAATAAAATATTGGCATTAATTTTGATAGATTAACAAACGAATAGGTTTACTTGAATTAAAAAAAAAATAATAATTCGATCAATTCTTGAGACAAGAAAATTTTCTCAATAGTACTTTTTTTTCTCAGTGTACACGGAAAGAATAAGATGACACTGGATATCATCCCAGATTATACTCAGTGATATCTGTGGTGAAAAAAAAAATTTCAGATAGAAGCTAAAAAAAATCCACATTATACTAGCTACTATTTAAAAATTTTTTTCACTCAATATAATCTGGGATGATATCCAGTGTCATCTTGTTCTTTTCTTGTACTAGCTACTGTCTGATTTTTTTTTCACTGAGTATAATCTGGGATAATATCCAGTATCATCTTGTTCTTTTTGTGTATGTGAGCAAATCGATTACTAATTTAACGACGAATAATTTACAAGGCTCTCACATCCGTCCAGTCATCCGTGATTGTAAACTAATATAACATTTATGTTACTAAAATAAAAAAAGAAATAAGTAGACAAAAAATTGGATTCAATTTGTGAACATTAATATAAAAAAAGCTACAAGTTAATAAAAGCTGCAATAACAATGATACAAGTAATCGGTTGGCATACATCTGTTTTATAATTTTAAGATCAAATACTATATTAAAAAAAAAAAAAATATCAGTTATATTAAACTACCATAATGATAGTTTTTAATAGATAATAGTTAATTAGAATAATTATACATACATATAACTTTAATTATTAATTTCATTAGTTTATTTTTACGTTCAATTTATTTGTAACTATAATATTTAGATGTTTAATTAACAAAAGATGCTAATAATTATTTGTTTCCGGTGTTTTTGTTTTTTCTAACAAAATCAAGGTATGTCTTCAGAATATTTTTAATAATATATGTCAACAATTCGTGGGAAATAATTGTGCAGCTTTATTTGATATATTTAAATAAATTCTGAGCCTGAATAACTGATGAAAAATAAAAAAATAAATTATTAATAATTATTATAATAATTAAAAAAAAAAAAATAGAATGGTTCAATGATTCTACGCTTTTGTACGGATTTTTTAATGATTCGTGATTGTGTGAACAGAGTGTAATGATTATGTGGTTTCATTAAAAATTATAAGAAACACCAGAATGCACTTGTTCTTCACTAATATGACTCTAATAACTTTGCTCGTTTCATTGATAACAATTGATGTACTCGCTTAATCATTTTAATTTAATTATAAAAACAAAAAGATTTATTTTTTTGGGTTTATTTAAGTAACAGTTGATTTGTAAATTTTTATTAAAAGATTAACAAATTAAATCGATCCTTTTACTACGTACGGTAAAAACCTGCTACAGTATTTTGGTGTAGATTAGATAGATATTATTATTATTAATCAATTAATTATTTTTTAGTATTCTCTAGAGTTATCTTTCTTGATTATTATATTCATAAAAATTAATACAATTTTGGTGAGCACCTGAAGCAGCAAAGTGGAGTTTACGAGGCTGAGAAAGGGCGCATTCTTAGTTGTTATTCACAATTATATAAATAATGTAATTTCATTTTAATAATTGAACAAAAAAACAAATAAACATTTGAAAAATAATATTTAAAAAAAAATTTATATATTATTATGAAAAGTAATCGGTAGGTTTAAAATATTAATTATCAATGAGTTTTTTTTATTTACTCCGAAATTAATAATTTAATTAAAAGGTGATTTTCGGGAATTTTTTTTGACAGGGAAAATAAAGGAATTTGGGGATCGGATTTTTTTTATTTTATTAAGGGTACTTTGAAGATTATTACCCTGAATTTTTATTAAAAAATATTTAATTATTACAAAGTTATTAATAATATCGTAGAGCACTAAAAAAAATTTCCCCCTCTATGGTCGCATCGATAACTAAAAAACGGATCATCTAAAAATAAAAATCCAAGTTGCTTTTTAATTAGTAAGGATGTAGTTATCTTTGAACGTACAGAATTTTGAAAATTTTAATTTTCAAAAAAATGCCGACTGATGGAAAATTTTCTTATTATTTTTACTGTTTTTTTTTTTCAATCCGGCTAAAAAAAATCTTTAAAAACAAAATTTTTAAAATTCCGTCCGTGCAACGATAACTATATCCTTACTGATTAAAAAGCAATTTGGGTTTTTATTTTCAGGGTATCCGTTTTTGAGTTATCGATGCGACCATGGAGGGGGAAATTTTTTCTAGTGCTCTACGAGATTGTTAATAACTTTGTAATAATTAAATATTTTTCAATAAAAATTTAGGGTGAAAATCTTTAACGTACCCTTAATAAAATAAAATAAATCCGATCCTCAAATTCCTTAATTTTCCCTGTAAAAAAAATTCTCAAAAATCACCTTTTGTTTTTCGACCTCTTAATTAAAAAATTTATGTAAATTTCCGTGTGGACATTTATTCAATGTCTTCCTCTATTTCAGCTACCGATTTTTATAAATACTATCTTAAAAATAATTTTTTTTTCTTAGTATAAATATAATTAGAATAATTATTACTGTAATTATAATTACTAATTAATAATTGTTTTTTTTTTTTTTTTTTGCAATACTGAATCAAACATCTTTGCATCTATTGATAATAATTATATGATAATTGATAATAATAACGATGTAAATTAATATTTATATATATTATACATATATATTTTTTTTTGTCGTCAATTGTGAATATATGTTGTTTAGAATGAATCAAGTAAAGCAGTACACGTTTAATCGTGCTTTTATCAAGTGATTTGTTTATTATAAATAAATTTAAAATTAGAATCAAATGAATGAGGGTGTAAGTTTAATTAAATTGCACGGGGCGTATTATTTGTAAAACAAAAAGAAAAATTTCAAAATGTATACATACTCTGTGCAAAATAAATATAATTAAGTATTTACTCGAATTGATGAAAAAAAAAAATTTTTTTTTTTTGTTATGAATGAATTTTCATAAAAAATTAAAGTGTACAGCATAAAAAAAAATCCAACATTTTTTTCCTAAACTAAATGATATTTTACGTAATCATTATATTAATTTTATTTACATATTTGGCGAATGTAAATGAGTTTATAAAGAACTAAGGTCTTTAAATGATAAATAATAGATACTAATAATAATTTGTGAACATCTAGTGTTATGTTTAGAATTTTGTATGAAGAAATAAGAAATCATAAATGAAAAATACCAAGTAGTTTTAGATTTATCTACTGTCAATACGTAGAAATTATAAATAAATTAATAAATATGTGTATATTAATAATGCTTACACACAAAGAAAAAAAAGAAAATGGATTATTGTGGTATATAATTTTTAGATAATAAAATAATTATTCATTTTTAATTACGAATTCAAAATTTTTCCATGATAATTAAGTTAGCCGACATCTAAAAATTTTAACTATTTTTTTTTTTATTAACAAAAAATTTTATTTTTAAAAATACTTGAAAAATTATAAGTGCAATTTTTTAAAAATATTTTTTCGTTCCAATTTAATTAATGAAAAATAAGAAAAAAAATTACAAAAGGTCGGCTAACTTTATAGTATTAATTTTTCCTTGAAAAAAGTTAGCCGACATTTGAAAGTTTTTATAATTTCTTTTTATTGAAAAAATTATAACAGAAAAAATTGTCATGTGTAAAAAATTTGAAAAACTGTAAATGCAATTTTTTAAAAATATTTTTTAGTTCTAATTTAATAAATGAAGAAAATAAAAAAATTAAAAACGTTGGCTAACTTTATAGTATTAATTTTATAACATTTAAGTTAGCAGTCACTTCATCATTTTAAAAATTATTTTTAACGAACAAATTTGTTAAAAAAAAATTGCATTTTCAATTTTTTGAAATTTCTACATGTCAATTTTTTTTTTTCATTTTTACCTTAATTTATTTGTTAAAACAATTTAATAAATATCGGCTAAATTAATTTCCATATTAATTTTTCCTTGAAAGTTAAGTTAGCTGACATTTCAAAATTTTTATAATTTTTTTTTATTGAAAAAATTATTACAGAAAAAAATTTCACGTTTAAAAAACATGAAAAACTGTAAGTGTAATTTTTTAAAAATATTTTTTAGTTCTAATTTAATAAATGAAGAAAATAAAAAAATTAAAAACGTTGGCTAACTTTATAGTATTAATTTTATGACATTTACGTAATCAGTCACTTTACGTAACAAACAAATTTGTTAAAAAAAATTTCATTTAAAATTTTTTTTTCTCATTTTTATCTTAATTTATTTGTTAAGACAATTCAATAAATATCGGCTAAATTAATTTTTCCTTGTAAATTAGGTTAGCCGACATTTGATAATTTTTATAATTTTTTTTTATTGAAAAAATTATTACAGAAAAAAATTTCACGTTTAAAAAACATGAAAAACTGTAAGTGTAATTTTTTAAAAATATTTTTTAGTTCTAATTTAATAAATGAAGAAAATAAAAAAATTAAAAACGTTGGCTAACTTTATAGTATTAATTTTATAACATTTAAGTTAGCAGTCACTTCATCATTTTAAAAATTATTTTTAACGAACAAATTTGTTAAAAAAAAATTGCATTTTCAATTTTTTGAAATTTCTACATGTCAATTTTTTTTTTTCATTTTTACCTTAATTTATTTGTTAAAACAATTTAATAAATATCGGCTAAATTAATTTCCATATTAATTTTTCCTTGAAAGTTAAGTTAGCTGACATTTCAAAATTTTTATAATTTTTTTTTATTGAAAAAATTATTACAGAAAAAAATTTCACGTTTAAAAAACATGAAAAACTGTAAGTGTAATTTTTTAAAAATATTTTTTAGTTCTAATTTAATTAATTAAAAAAATCAAAAAATTAATAAGCGTCGGCTAACTTTATAGTATTAATTTTATGACATTTACGTAATCAGTCACTTTACGTAACAAACAAATTTGTTAAAAAAAATTTCATTTAAAATTTTTTTTTCTCATTTTTATCTTAATTTATTTGTTAAGACAATTCAATAAATATCGGCTAAATTAATTTTTCCTTGTAAATTAGGTTAGCCGACATTTGATAATTTTTATAATTTTTTTTTATTGATACAATTATTACAGAAAAAATTTTCACATGTAAAAAACATGAAAAACTGCAAGTGCAATTTTTAAAAAATATTTTTTTGTTTCAATTTAATTAATGTAAAAAATCAAAAAATTAAAAACGCCGGCTAACTTAAGTATTATATAATTCTTCCCGCTTTATTTTAAATAAACGCGCCATCTGACAGCGCTTAGCAAAACTTACCGTCTGTAGTAGAAATAGTGGCTGACGATTAGTAATATTTTTTTTCTTTTTCTATGGTTAGTACATACTACTCAAAAACATGTTTATCGTACTATCAACATTACAAATCATCTTCAAACTTCATAATAATAATCGAGCTATTAGTAATTAGTAATGGATTGTAAATGGTGATCTAATATTTGATATTTTTAAAGGTGAGTAACAATTGTAAAAATACTTACGTCTAATTTTTTATTTAAAAAAAAAGTTTTTTTTTTTTTTTCATAATATATTTAGAAGATTATTTATAAATTTGTTATCATTAATTTAAGTCCATCGTTAATTTACTGAGAAAATGGATACACTATTTTTGGTTGTACGTCAGATGTTTTTCGGTGATCTGTGCTTTTAGACCTTTCATTCCACTGAATCCGACACCACAATCTCAAAGTTATAAAATAAAAAATTTCAACAACTGACAGAAAACTGAATCCCATAAACAATCCAAGAAGACCACCAGTGTTGGCTGTAATAAGTTGTATTTATTAATTAAATATGTGTGTCAGTGATAGCGATAGACAAGTGCTGATCAATAATTATTATTTAGCTAATTAATAAGTGATTGATGATGACAACAATGACAACTTACATAAAAATTCTATAAACCCAAATAATTCACTCTTTACGTATTTGGGAAATTGCGAGTTGACAAAAAACAAATGAACCACTGCCATATTTTCTCTATAACACAGGTATATATATAAAAATAAATTAAAGTAACAATTAAAATTAATAATGCTAAAGATAGCAGTCACTTGATTATTTTTTTAGTTTTTTTTTTTAACAAATAAATTTGTTCCAAAAAATTATTTTTGAAAAATTGCATTTTTAATTTTTCAAAATTTTTACATGTCAATTTTTTTTTTTTTATAACTTATTTGTTAAAAAAATTTTTAAAATTATCAAATATCTGCAAAATTAATTTTCATATTTTAAAAATTATAATACTGAAATTAGACGACGTTTTTAATTTTGTGATTTTTTTTTCATTTATTAAATTAGAACTAAAAAATATTTTTAAAAAATTGCACTTATAGTTTTTGGATTTTTTTTTCATTTATTAAATTAGAACTAAAAAATATTTTTAAAAAATTGCACTTATAGTTTTTGGATTTTTTTACGAATGAAATTTTTTTTTTGTTACAATTTTTTCAATAAAAAAAAATTTTTATCTTAAGTTAGCCGAAGTTTTTAATTTTTTAATTATTTTCATTAATTAAATTAGAACAAAAAAATATTTTTAATAAATTGCACCTACAGTTTTTCAAGTTTTTTACAATGAAATTTTTTGGTAATAATTTTTACAATAAAAAAATATTTTTTATTTTAAAAATTATTTTTTTCATTGAAAATTAAGTAACTTTAGTATTATAAAATAACAGAATTAGTAAAAAATAAAAATTTTAATGCTTACTTGAAATATTTCTTACTATTTTTAATATATGTATCGTCAACATGAATTGCTGATGTAAGTATACTGTGTGACATTGTAAACTCATAATTCATTTCAAAGCAACCCGGCCAACAATTACAACTTGGTCTAAAAAAAATAATTACTTTAATACCAAAGTTAAAAAAAATTAAAAAGTATCACACGATAAAAATTACGCGATTCTTATTACATTTCAGTAACATTAAGTTTATCAGCGACTGCTTCGTCATCATAAAGTTTTTTTTCCATCAATCGTCTAGCATCATTCGCACATTGATCATCTTTCTTACCACATATCTGAGTATTTGCTGACTCTATCAAATTAACCACAGAGAATATCATAAGTTACAATTTTAAAAAATAAGATATTAATTTGAGGAAAATAAATTTACTTGGCATGTAATATTGGACACAATTACAAATTTGTTGAGTGAAATTAGCCTCACATTCAAGAAGACAATTTCTCTGGGTATAAGTGCGATAATACTTTAATTTACGCTCAGTATTAAAAAAACACTTTCTTTTCTTACGAGGTATACCAAGAATTGATAAACTCGCTGTGTTAATACGTGGTGTGATGACAATTCGAGTCTCTTCTCCAGGACTTATGGCAAAACCAAAATCAGCCATCTTTGGTGTCTCTACAGGATTGTGAAGAAGTAATTTAAATCCTACGCTTGCTGTAGATGAACAGTAATACTCTTTGATATTTGTATCTAAAACAAGAGTAAGTCCGTAATATTTTCCTGCACCATAAGGACGCCAGGGTTGAGTTTCTGGATGAACTGAATCATTGTATCCAGTCTCTGGTTTCCAATCCATTATTGGAAATGGAAATGTTATGTTGAGATCTGACCATTCTTGACTTTAATACAAAATATATTAATTATTATATTTTATCAATTTTTTAAAAATGTTTTATGAAAATTAAGTTAGCCGACATCTAAAAATTTTTATGAAAATTAATTTAGCAGATATTTGATAATTTTAAGAATTTTTGGATCAAATATATTATTAAAAAAAAAAAAAAAAAAATGAGAAAAAAAATTGGCATTTAAAAATTTTACAAAATTAAAAATGCAATTTTTTAAAAATAATTTTTTGGAACAAATTTGTTTGTTAAAAAAAATTAAAAAATGGTGAACTGACTGCTAACTTTAATGTCATATTTTTTTTATTGAAAAAATTATTACAAAAAAATAAAAAAAAAATTTCATTTGTAAAAAACTTGAAAAACTGTAAATGCAATTTTTAAAAAATATTTTTTTGTTCTAATTAAATGATTAAAAAAAAATAAAAATTTCGGCTAACTTCAGTATCAAATTTTTATCGTTAAAAAACATACGGATTATAAAACATGAAATCACGATGGACAGAATTAAAATTACAGCACATTCCTTCGTCTGTTAATGTAGGATTAAATATTCTTTCACAATCTGTAACGTTACCGTGCCACTGACAGTGATGCAGCATCTCATTACATGGTTGAGATACCTTTAAAAGATTAAAATAAATTTATTTTTATTATAAATTAATTCTTATTAAAAAAAAATTTGTTAGCCAAATTGATGAAATTTTTTTTTTTTCATTAATAGAAAATACTTGAATATTAATATTTTTAAGAAAAAATACTTGAAATTAAGGTCTAAAAGTTATAAAAAATCAGCAATATTAAAAAAAAATTAGGTATAAAAATTTAGCAGTTACTGTGTTTTAAAATTGAGCAGCCGACATGCTTGCAAAAAAAAAAAATTAATTTATAATCATCAATAAATTTAATAATACTTCTGATTACATTAATCATAAAACGCAAAACATTGGTCCAGTTTGCTGATCCAAAAACTTCATCAACCTCGGTTTCATTTCTGGAGTTACAAATATCCTCCAACAACAGTTTGTCTAGGTCTTCATTTCTAGATAATGAAAGTATTGATTATAAACAGTTGGATATTTAAAATTATACTGAGTTAATTATTTTACTAATCAATAATGCTTGATACCCATTATTAATGCGATCAGCTTCGCTCTTCTTGGCGTTATTCATATTGCAAATAGTCACCGAGGGAAACGGAAATTCTTCAAAAGATACTGGCTCAGGATTCATCGAAATAATTATTGGAGATGATAGCCACTTGTTATATAAATGTAATATAAAGTAAGCTGCACTGAGAAATGCACATATGAATGCACAGATCCAAAATAATCTGCATTGAAGTGAAATCAATTCATTGTAATTGATTCTAAATAAATAATTAAAAAAAAAGGTAATTATTTACAAGTGGGGTTCTCTATTTTAATTTTTATTTTTTAAACGAAATTGTTTTTTGAAAATTTTTTTATTTATATATTAATCAACATTTATGCCAAGGCTTCATGGGCCGAATGGCTAGCTAAAAAATACATAAACATCGTATATTCACATTTTTATGATGTATTAAATTAATCATTAATTTATAAATTTTTTAGAAAATTGTGATATTTAAATTGTTTTTTAATTGTTGGTTTTTTATGTACTTTTAAAAAAAAATATATACCAAAAATATGAAAAAAAGATAAAATAGAAATTTTAACCAAAAACATTAAGAAGTAAAAATTTTTTCCAACTTTTGAAGGTAAAAAAGCTATCGAAATCTTCATTTTTTTTTTAGGATATTTTTTTTCACAAATGCGCCGTAAAAACAAGCGAATTAAAAAGAAGGCCACATATAGTTAAGATATAAACAGCCATTAATATGGTACTCAAATTGAAACTTATTTAAAGAGCTTTCACATGCAATTTACAAATATTCAATAAGTTATCCCTTTTAAAATTCGAGAAAAAAAGTGAAGAAAAATGAATTTTTAAGATTTTGAAATCCCGGCATTTATAAATTAACAGATTAAGCTCAACTTCGAACTCGACTTCAGTATTTATCTGTAAAATAAGTATGTTGAGCTTGGTGAAGATCCGTTGCTAATTGTAGACACTATCGTCCTGACAAGTTTCATTATACCCCATATATATACATACATATAGAGACTCTTGAACCATATGCATTTTCTGAATCTGCTTGACGAGCTGATTCAAAATATAAAAAAATTTTTAAAAAGTTCCGTCATGAGGACCAATGCAATAGATTTCTACAAAATCTACTAAAAAATTAAAAAATATTAATTTTTCACTTGAATATGGCCAAAAATAAGGGCTCCACTTGAAAATAATTACCAAAAAAAAAAAAAAGAAATTAATTACTTCTCAATTACAGATACTTGAGAATCTCCAAGATAACGAAGACCATGTAAAGTACTATTGGAGCAATATTGCTCCAAGAATGAATTGAATTTTATTTTCCGAAAGCACATTTGGATTTTCTCCTTTTGTGTTGGCAAAATATTTTTAATATCATCCTGAGTCCACGTATTTTTACGAACTTGAATAGTTTTGTCGACATCATCTACCTAACTTGGTAATTAAGTAATTAAACATGCAAAAGATATTAATAAATAATTACACTAAATGGTATTACCTTTGGAAAGAGATTAGACCGGAGCTTTAATGCATTGTGACGAGAGTTACTAAAGCCTTCAAAACGCTGCGGGACTTTGTATGGATTTTGCAAGTGCACTGTATTAAGCGTAAATGATTCATTTTCCGTGGATTCACCAGCAAAGCCACGTAATTTTCTAATGTAAGTCTCTGAACTCATTTTATCAATGCTGAAAATCCAAGTTGGATTTCTCGAGGATGAAAAAATACACGTGACACTGACTGATGTCGCGACTCTCTTTTCACTTACATATACACCACAAATTTGCATTTAATCACATTATTACTACAAATGCTTGAAAAAAAAAAAAAAAAAAGAAAAATGTAAATAGAGTGTGTTGTTGTAGAGGTAATTGACAGAAGTTGCAAGAATAATAACAGAATGATCATCTAAGATAATATTTGGTGTCAATTAATGTCATAATGAATTGACAAGTTGCGTGATAATAAAATGGAAAGCTCAACTAGTTTATGTACCTGTTATGTGCAGACTTGCTTAAAGATCTTTTTTAAATTTTTCCGTCGACGCTTGACTATACCTTGGTGACATTAACCAACAGTGACTATTACCGATAATGGTTTTTTTCCACCGGCTAGCACACAATTTTTCACGCAAGCTAACATCTTTAGCGTAAATTAATTTATAATGTTTATTTTTCTCTAGCTTATTATCAAGCTATCATTGCAAACATTATGAATAAAAGAACGTTCCAAAAGTTATATTTATTTAAGATCACAATCATTGTTATGTACTTATACTTTTTATCCATACTATTTTTATCAATTCAACATGGTAGGTCACGTAAGAAGATCAATAAAAATTATTTTATGTAATTATTTTTTACATAAACTATTTAGAAATTGATTACCTTTTAGAGTATCAACAAATTTTCTCAGGGTTGCAGTAAAAGATGTAATCAAAAGTTTATAATTGAATAGCAACTTTATCATTTTTTTTTTTTTGTTAGTGTTCGTGGTCAAGTTCTATCTATCAAAAACTATGAAATTACTGATTAAATATTTACTTTGAAGCGATATCAGTGGATTACTCCTTTTTGCATGCATATAAACTGATGTCATGAAGTGGTAATATTGATAGAAGGTTGAACATGTCATTGTTGAGTTTCCTAATCGATGTAAAAAATTCTTATTTTATAACAAACTTTTTTTTATAATTAAAAAATTAGCAAACTTGCAGTCACTATGTAACTGCCATGACTTGTGAGTTATAAATAAATAAAATTTTGCTTTAATTAAATAATGACTTTTGTTAAATTGTACTGTATTTTCTTAAATATTGACAATTTTAAAGATATAAGCTCATTTCGATGTTACACTCATCAAGAGCTTTCATTTGAGTACCCACATGCATTTTTGATATATTTTTCATATAAACATATATATAATATATATAAATAAATATATAAAATATATGAAAAATTGATGTGGATACTCAAATGAAAGGTCTCAATGAGTGCAATGTCGGGATGAGCTTATATCTTAAAAAATGTCAATAGTTCACAAGATATTTATTAAATTGCAGTGTATTTTCTTAACATTGACGTTTTTAAAGATATAAGCTCATCCCAATGTTACACTCATCAAGAGCTTTCATTTGAGTACCCACATACATTTTTGATATATTTTTCATATATACATATATATAATGTATATAAATATATGAAAAATTGATGTGGGTATTCAAATGAAAGGTCGTGATCAATCTGACATCAGGATGAGCTTATATCCTTAAAAATGTCAATAGTTCACGAGATATAAGGTCATTTCTTAATTTTTGACATTTTTAAAGATATAAGCTCATCCCGATGTTACACTTATCAAGAGCTTTCATTTGAATACCCACATGCATTTTTGATATATTTTTCATATATACTTATATATAATATATATAAATATATAAAATATATAAAAAAATCGATGTGGGTACTCAAATGAAAGGTCTCGATGAGTGCAATGTCGGAGTGAGCTTATATCTTTAAAAATATCAATAATTAGTAAATATTGACGTTTTTAAAGATATAAGCTCATCCCGATGTTACACTTATCAAGAGCTTTCATTTGAATACCCACATGCATTTTTGATATATTTTTTCATATATACTTATATATAATATATATAAATATATAAAATATATAAAAAAATCGATGTGGGTACTCAAATGAAAGGTCTCGATGAGTGCAATGTCGGAGTGAGCTTATATCTTTAAAAATGTCAATAGTTCACAAGATATTTATTAAATTGCAGTGTACTTTCTTAACTATTGACGTTTTTAAAGATATAAGCTCATCCCGATGTTACACTCATCAAGAGCTTTCATTTGAATACCCACATGCATTTTTGATATATTTTTCATATATACTTATATATAATATATATATATAAATATATAAAATATATGAAAAATTGATGTGGGTACTCAAATGAAAGGTCTCGACGAGTGTAACATCAGGATGACCTTATATCTTTAAAAATATCATGAGTTCACAAGATACAAGGTAATTTCTTAATTATGTATCTAGAGAAAGAGCATTTTTAATTGCAGCCTAAATACTTATCATATTAAACTGACTATTGATGAGAATTTTATGAAACCATAAAAAAGCACAAATCCAGATCAAGAATTTTTAAACGATACCAAATTTACTCATAAAAATCCATTTTACCATATAAAAATACTAGCCACAAAATTTTGCTTATTCTTTTAATGATATAAATTATTAAAAAAAAAAATCTTTTTGCAGATTCAAAATGTCGGAGGATAAACCAACTTTAGAAGAAGAAAAGAAAAATGAAGAATCGGACCCGACCGAGGAATTGCTCGATAGATTGCCCGAGTCACTTACAACAATGTGGGAAATACCACAAATATACGAGTTCCTGTGTCTCGCTAAATCGAGCTTGCATATCCAGCATTTGTCGATGTATGAAATGGAACGGATGCTTCTAATACCACGAGCTTCAAAACAGCTCGCTATTATAATGACAAGCCTTTTGAGTCCCTCTCTCCCCCGATCTAAACTAAAAAAAGTACCATTAATGCCATATGAATTCTGGACAAATTATCTACTAGCCCACAAAGTCTCCCAGTGGTACAAAGTTTATCAAAGCAAAGAATATGACTCAGTAAAAGTATTTGATACTATTGGAGTTGAGCCAGAATTTTGGGAAATTTTTCCCGAGGTCGCTTCAATGGGTGTTCGTGATTTTGAAGATTTTACCTTGAGACAACGTGTGTGGCTTCTTAAGACAGTTTGTGATACTCTGACCCATTCAAGAAGATCTTTGCAAGAAGAAGTTTCTAATCGTTATTTAAATGGCGAAAGTGAAAAACTTTTAGGCCGCGATCGTTTTGGAACGCGTTATATTTATTTTCCTATTTTTCTTGATAATGATTTAAGAATTTATAAACACTGTATGAATAATAAAGTATTTTTAAACGCAGTGCCTGTAAAAGCTAAATTAAAGCTTCAAAATACGAGAGTAAGAAAAAAACGCCGTGATAGAAGACGTACTAATCGGTGGAGAAATGGATTTTTACCTAAAAGACGTTCTGGTGGGGGTAAAAAAAATTCTAGCGAATTTTCTATTTTAGAAAATAGTACAAATAATAGAGATAAAAATTTAGAAAAAAATAATCTTGCAATAAATATTAATATTCATAATAATAGTGATCAAATTGATGATTCTAATTTAGATATTAAAGAAGATAAAAATGGATTGAAAGAAGATGATAGCAAAGCAATAGAGTCCGTAGAGTCGGAAATTTTAAAAGAAGAAAAAGAAAAAGAATGTGAAAGTAAAGAAGAAAATAAAGAATGTGAAAAAAAAGAAGATGATAAAGAAGAAAAGGAAAAAGATAGTCAAGTAAAAGTTGAGGAAAATGAAGTGATGCCGAAAATTGATGAGAAACCTCCTGAGGGTGATGAATACAATGAATGTACTGTACGAGACGACGTGTCTAGCAGCTCAAAGACTGACGATGAGAAAATAAATGAGATGTTGTCTAGTAATGTTAATATAACTAAAGAAAACAATTGCTCTGGATCGAAAAGTGACGATGAAAAGTTAATCGAGACGCAGCAAGTTGTCGGTGATAATATAGTTGACAATGAAGTAACTGAAAATATTGATGCTGATTTTAAAGATCAGAGGGAAGAAATTGGTGAATGTAATGATGATGATAATAATGAGAAGAAAGAGAGTAATGAAGAAATGGATGATTCTAAGTTGATGGATAATTTATGTCATGATGGAATTGATGATGAGAATAAAGTTGAAAGAACTGAGGGTTGTAAAAGAGATATGGAAAATTTTAATAATATTTTGACTGATTTGAAAGGTTCCAAGTTTCAGCTTGTTGCGGATAGCTTAGATTCTCTCAGGAATTTAATTGCGGATCTTTATGCGCTTAATACGGTTAAATCGACGGTGAGTAATTGAAAAAAAATTTTTTATTGATTTTTTGGCTTTAAGGAAGTCCTTTCGCTCCAGTTGAGTCACAACAACTGTAGTAGTCAATATTCGATAAATTAAAATAAATAACTCATAAAAATTCCTAAAGTTAAAAAAATTAATAGTATATGAGGCATTAATCGTTGAAATTTTGAAAATTAAAAAAAAAAAGTAGTTAAATACAAAAATTAATTTGACTCTTTTAAATCAGCTGTTAGTAACCTGTCCGTGATTTGGCAACGCTATATTTCGATTTTTTACATTTTCATTTACACAATATAACCATGTTAAAGTTTTTGCAGTCAATGCAAATAAATTAATTAATTAAAAATGTTTAATCACAAAACTATAACATTCTTGTCTCATGGCAGGAATGCTAGTATTTTTTAATTATTGTTTTATTTTTCAATTATGAAATATGAAAATTTGTTAACAATAAATTAACTTATAAGTATGTATGAAAAACATAAGTGCATTAAAGTTTAGTTTGAATTTATTTAAATGCAGATTACTTAAAAATTTTCTGTGATTTTATAATTTTAATTTCTCTATAAATTCCACGGCAACCTATAGATTTTATTGCAAAAAATCAAATCTGAATATTTCGAAAAAATTATTTTGAGTTTTTTTTTTTATCATCTAATCGGTGGTTAATGCCATAATTTGAGAAAGTTGTTAAGATCTGACTTTCTCGTAAGACTCGGAAAAAATACTAACATTTTTTTTCAAAAATTTCCACGGTGAAGAATAAATTAAACTTCACTAGTAAATAAATCAGGACTTTAACTATTAGATAAAAATTAATTTTATGCATAATCTAATATTTTTTATTTAACATTGTTGGCGAAAGGACCTTCTTAATTGATATTTATTTATTATCGAAGATATTTTATTGATATATTTAAATTTGTAGATCAGTTCTTGCATGATTGTGTGCTATTGTAATTAAATGTATAATACGTTTACAATCGAGAGTTTTGCTTAATTGTATTAAATATTGTTTATTATAAATTTATTAAATTTTTTTTAATGTTTTAGTTATTGTTTTATTTTGTTAAATTTTTATTAAAAAACCTAAATATATACATAAGTTATCCCTATTTTAATTGATACATTTGTTTGTTCTTTAGCAACCTGTAAGATGTGAGATGCTTCTGATCAGTAAATTGCAGGCGTTACTTGATACTTTGAAATCAAAAGAATCTATACTGAAAGAATCGGCAGATAAATCGAGAGCTAAATTATTAAGTGAGCAAAAGAATTTCATTGAAGGGTAACTATTATTATTATTATTATTATTATTATTAATATTACTATTATTATCAATGTAGTGATATTGAATTTTGCTTTATTAAATAATGATTTTTGTTAAACTGCACTTATTGACATTTCTAAAGATATAAGCTCATCCCGATGTTACACTCATCAAGAGCTTTGATTTGAGTACCCATTTGCATTTTTGATATATTTTTCATATATACATATATGTAATATATATAAATATATGAAAAATTGATGTGGGTACTCAAATGAAAGGTCTTGATGAGTGTAATGCCGGGATGAGCTTATATCTTTAAAAATGTCAATAGTTTTCAAGATACAAGATCATTTCTTAATTATATAGATTATTATGTGTCAATAGATTACCAGAACTAGATGAATCATTGACCGGTACCCGTAATTCCAATTCATGGGTTCTTGGTTCTCAAGGATGTCCTCTACTTTCATACAGTGATACAATTCTTCAACGTTTGTTACAAGAAGAAGATAGTGAAAGAGAGAAAATGAAAATCAAAGAAGAAATTGATAATGATGAGTCGGATCACGACTCGAAAGAAGGTATTTTTTTTTAGATTATTGTTAAAATAAGGAAATCCGATCGCTAGTGATAATCGGAAAAAATAGACCCGAAAAAAATTTTAAAGTTATGAAAAATCCATACTATTTTATTAAAATTATTATAAAATATTACACCCATAATTTTCCTAAAAACAAGCACCCCCAAAATGATAGCTCCATTTTTTGTTAGAAAAAAAATCTTCGATTTTCTTAACAGGAAGTTAAAAAAATATTATTATAAATTATTATGATTATTATTGTCTATTAGGTAAAAAGTGCTAAAAACAAAATTAGCTACTTAGCTAAATAAATATATATTATTATTATTATTATTATAATTTTTTAATGAAATAATATGAATTTTTCATAACTTTAAAATTTTTTCTGGTATTCATTGCTGGTTATGTCAAAAAACATATATTAAATTAAAGTACACAAAATTTGTTTGTTTTTTTTAAATTATTATAACATTAATTACAAGATAAAATGTTGATAAATTTAATCGTAAATTTAAACTTTTTTTATAAAGTTGTATGAAATATTAACTTTTTTATAACTTATTATTCTCTTCCAAGAAGCTCATTACTGTTAATAAAATTAATCGAGCAAACTTATATATCTTAAAAAAAAAACTTTTGAATTTTTCGCACATGACCGATCAACTACAATTTAGTAATCGGATTTTCTCATAAAAAAAAAAAAAAAAATCTCTAATTATTTAAAATTACCAATAGAACCTGAAACCCGGCGAGTACTACGAGCCCGCGGAGTATCTTCCTACATTGAGCCTTTTTCGTCCGACTCAGAAAGTGCCTCGAGTAGTTACGAAGACTGGGTAGGCTTCGAGTCGGTAGATCCAGCAACTGGAATTCACAGTGCTCCAGCACCTCTTCCAGTCCCCGCTAAAGCTCGCTTAACAACTGACCAATCAGACGCTACAGATTCCGACAAAGATTGGATACTGCCCAGCCGCCGTAAGCGAAAGCGCAAAGGATCATCACCCAGCAAACGCTTAAGATCCCAATCCAGTAAATCACAGCCTACAAAAGCCGACTTCAAGGAACCTGAAATGACTCCAGAACCTGTAGTAGACCCGGTACCTGACCCAGTATCAACACCAGACCCCGACCCAATAATCAGCAACAATGGTCTTTTAAATTCCATAAAAATCGAAAGTGTTCACTCTGTCCTCGACATAAAAGACGAGGGACCAATAATGGACAGCCAGCCTGAGCCAGTTTCCTCGGGGATGCATCAGAATTATGTGTTAGTAAATGCAGGAAACGGCCCTGTAAATTACGTGGTAATGCCTTCGGAAAATCCATCACTTGTTCCTCAATCTCCAATGATCTCAGTGATTCCACAAGTACCAATGCATTCAGGATATTACATGCACAACCCACCGGGATATTTAATCCCTAATCAACCCATGTCTAATCACATGCACTCCTATGGTGAACCCTCGAATTTACAAATGAATAATCATCAACATATGATTATCCAACAAAATACAAATTATATTCCTCCGCACAATAATTACATGCCTTATCATCAAATGAGAGCTCCAATGTACTCTAATCGGTACCAAGGACCAATGATGAACCAACCTGGAATGAATACCATAAATCAACATGGAATTAATCAGCCTAGAATTAATCAACCTGCCATGGAGCGACCATTACCGCGTGTGGTCCAAAATAGACCAGTTACTCTTCCTCCACGTCCTCGTCACCCTGATGGAGCAGTCATCAGAAGCACTGTACCCTTTAGACCGACCTATAGGCCCGTAGCAGCTCCAACTCTTCGAGCTCGTCTTACAGCTCCTAGAAATCCGAACCAGCAACAGAATGTTAGGCATATTCAACCAAGACCTCCTTTACAAAAAAGCAACCAACCTAAGGCGAAGACTACTTCGTTGATTGTTCTCAGTGACAGTGATGATGAAATTGAAATGATTATTACTGAGAAATCTGGTAGTGCTAATGTGACTACTCCGCAAAAACAAGGACCAAAAAATACAGTGCAGAAAAAAGTTATCAATAGGGGTAATGTTAATGTTAATAGTAATAGTGGCTCTGCTCCAAAAGCTAACACTGCTACGAAAAGCGGGCTCACTCCGCAAATTATTGAGCGCATGAATCAAGGCGGTATATCAATTACTCCTGTCAAGCCTAAATCACCTGCTAAAACTTCTCCTATTTCGGCTACCCAACTTGTCGTTGTTGTTAATGAAACGGGAAGCCACTATGCATTGGCACTACCCAATGGTAGTAAATTAATACTTACTCCTGAACAGGTTGCACAGATAAGGGCTTCCAATGGTGGTAAGCTTATACTATAGTTAGATTTTAATATTTTAATATTTATACCATTTATTAGGGGCTATTTATTTATTACGTAAGGATATTTAGAGGGGGGAGGGTTAAGAAAATATCTATATGTTTATTATGTTGGGGGGTATTACGTAATATTTCGTGAATCAAAATTCAATATTAAAAATCTGATTTTGGATTTTAAATAGTTTTCTTAATTTTTAAGTAAATAATTACTATTGGAAAATTATAGTACTTTTTTCCGTGAAGTATCGTATTTTTATTATCTAGAAGATTGAAAAATCTTATTTATCGTGATCATTTATTTATGTTTTTAATAGTAGTTTGTAAACTAGAACGTTTATTAACTCTAAATTTGGAAATCAATAATGTCGTGACACTGTAGTTAGCGTCTAAAAACTTTTGATTTTTTTTATTAATTAAATTACAAATAAAAAGATATTTATAAAAAATTGCACTTGTAGTTTTTCAAGTTTTTTACATGTGACAATTTTTTTTTTTTTAATTATTTAATTGAAATTTTTTCAATAAAAAATTTTGAAATATCGTTGACCGACCCATTAAAAATATAAGAAGTTTTAAAACTAATTTTACATTGAGAAAAAAAAGTACTACTCTTGAGAAAATTTTCTTGTCACAAGAATATATAAGGTAAAAGACCCAGTTATTGACACTGAACTAGTTATTGACACTTGCAATTTTATTTAACTTAAATAAAACAAATCGACTCTAATAAATTAATAAATATAATTTTTAAACTATAAATTTTAAGATAAATGGTTTTTTAAGAACATTTTATTTTTTTAATTAGAATAAAATTGCAAGTGTCAATCAACTAGGCCAGTGTCAATAACTGGGTCTTTTACCTTAATTGATAATTTTCAAGAATATATTTTCTTGTCTCAAGAATTGATCGAATTATTTTTTGTTTTATTCAAGTGAACCTATTCGTTTTTTAATCTATCAAAATTAATACCAATATTTTATTATCATAATAGATATTGATATTCTTTTGTCAAAAAACCAAAATTTATTTTAAACGATTCTTGAGTCAAGAAATTTTTTTTTGGACTGTACAATTCACAAAGTTTACAATTGACTAATTTTACAAATTTCTGTAGTAAGAATTGATTAAATTCACGTAGCCACAGATTTTTGTTTTTCGTTATTTTATAAATAACTAAATTTATATTTCGCGAATTTCCTTAATATCATTTTTTATTTACAACTAATTTTGCAAATTTATAGTTTATAAACGTTCGAGTTTACAATTGGCTATTTTTCAGTAAAATTAAAAAAATACTTAAATTAATGACCACGATTGCACTTACATGGGGGTCAAAAGTCACCAAAATTGTCCTTACGTAATTAATAAATGACCCTTTACCAGTTTACGATTATTATATTATTTTTATAATTATAATTAAGTATACATAATATTTAACAACGTAAGCTGTAGAAATCCAAATTGTAAATATTAAATATAAATTTTATTATTCACAACGTTATATAGTACTTATAAGTTATGATGATTGGCTAAATTTTTTTTTTTCGTTGATCAATTTTAAATTTAACAATTTTTAAAGCTTGGTAATTAAGGTTCAGCCTTTTTTGAAGTATCAATAAATTTTGATAGCCTTGAACCATTGTATGGTGTATCGCTATTGGGTGGGTGGAGACGCATCTAAAAAAAAAATTATATATTTATAATACAAATATATATATAAGTATATTGATACAGATATTTCAATTATAGTTTTAGATTTATAATTTTGCAATATATATGTTTAATATTAAGCTCATTAAATTTATTTAATTTATTATCATTAATATAGTTTATTATATTAAATATAACATCACTAAATATAACATCACAAATATCACTGTTGATAATTATTTAATTTTTAAGTCAATTATTTAATCGTTTACTGGTTACGTACCATGTGATAGTCCGAATCCGTAAAATTCCATTTGATAAAAAAAAATTAATGTTTTGTGTATGGAAAATTTTGTAAAAAAAATTACCCAAAATTTCTACGTACAATTTATGATAAAAGATACTTATGATTTCCAATAAATAATTATAATAATATGTAATTTTAGTTGTTACGGCGTTAATTATAAAGCTTTTGTTTTATAAATTAAGGTATTATTATTATTATTATTATTATTATTATTATTATTATTATTATAGATATTAGTAATTGTAATTATTGATACTAAATTTAGATTATTATAATAAAATTGAATAATTGATTTGATAAATATTTGGTGATAAAAAATTAATTATTTATAAATCCTGTCAATCCTTATGCAGTAATATGATAATTTTAATAATAATAATTATTATTAAAATTATTATATTATTATTATGTTAATTTAAAATTGATTAAATATTTAATTGTTTATTTATTTGTTTATTAAATAATAGTAATAATTGATAGCGTCGTATATTATTATTATAATTATTATTATTATTATTATTATTAGCTTGGATGATATTGCCCATTAGCTTAGTGTATAATGTATCGTGTTATCCCGCATAGATGACGATGAATAGCGTCATATCATAGCATCATGAATATTCATCTATTTGTCGGTGTACTCGTTGTCGAACGGCTCGCTGTCTGTTTCCAATTTTTTCATTCGTTTCTGAAATTCAAAACCAACACCATTAAAAAGCCTGCGCAATCTAAATTCAAAGCATGGACCACGTCTGCTGTTTTTTAGTTCCAACTTATTTCTTTTAATTAATTTATACAATGCTAGCAACCTTACAGTCACTATGTGACTGCCGTAACTTGTTAACTATAAATATATAAAATTTTGCTTTATTATATAATGATGATTTTTGTTAAATTGCACTTTACAGTCATAACTATTGACATTTTTGAAGATATAAGCTCATCCCGATGTTACACTTATCAAGAGCTTTCATTTGAGTACCCACATGCATTTTGATATATTTTTCATATATACATATATATAATATATATAAATATATGAAAAATTGATGTGGGTATTCAAATGAAAGGCCTCGATGAGCGTTACTCCAGGATGAGCTTATATTATTAAAAATATAATAAATGGACCAAATACAACGTCATTGCTTTATTATTGACATTTTTTAAGATATAAGCTCATCCTGATGTTACACTCATCAAGAGCTTTCATTTGAGTACCAACTTGCATTTTTGATATATTTTTCATATATACATATATATAATATATATAAATATATGAAAAATTGATGTGGGTACTCAAATGAAAGGTCTTGATGAGTGTAATGTCGGGATGAGCTTATATCTTAAAAAATGTCAATGGTTCTCAATATACATTGCCATGTCTTAATTATGTTAAATTGCACTCTACTTTCTTAAATATTGATATTTTTAAAGATATAAGCTCATCCTGATGTTACATTCATCAAGAGCTTTCATTTGAGTACCCACATACATTTTTGATATATTTTTCGAGTATACATATATATAATATATATAAATATATGAAAAATTGATGTGGGTACTCAAATGAAAGGTCTCCATGAGTGTAACATCGGGATGAGCTTATATCTTTAAAAATGTCAATAGTTCTCAAGATACAAAGTCATTTCTTAAATATGTATCTAGATATAAAACCATGAAAAGGCACAACTCTAGGTCAAGACCTTTCCAACGATACCAAATTTAACCAAAAAAACCCATTTTGTCATATAAATACACTGCCCAAAAAATTTTGCTTATTCTCTTAGTAATATATAGCTTATCTATTAATAAAATTATCCTCTAAATAATATATAGTCTAATATATAAAATTTCCCTGTGAAATAATTAATTACTCACCATTATTCTGTATTTTTCTTTACAAGCATATTCAGTTTCATCAACGTCATTGTAACAATCGCTCTTGTAATCTTCAGGAATAGGCCCACCTTCAAATTGACAGAGTTTTGACAATGGTTTAGCTTTAACAATCATTTTTTCAAAGCCCGTGGGTTTGTGTTGTGGACAATAAAATACATCTGGTGTATTTTTATCAAACACAATACTTTTTCTCATCATATCACCAGCATTTACAAATACAATTATGCTCTGAAATAAATTACACAATTTCAAATTATATATACAATACATTTCATAATAGTAACAATTGTTATCAAAAATCAACAAAACAAAAGTAATTAAACAAGCTATTAAATTAAAAATTGATTTTACTTACGATTAAGAAAATTGCTGCAAGTCCCTGAGCACCTAAAATTAAATCACTAAATTAATAAAAAAAAATAATAATTATTTAATTTAAAGAAAAAACAATTGCCATATTGATCATTTATATATCTCAACAATATTCTAGAACAATCTTTTTAATAGCAAAATATAATGAGCGGATATAAAAAAGAAAGTTAATAATTTACACTACTTATACACTTTTATAATTTTATTTTTTATGATTATGAGTCAACAGTTTATAAATAAAAATATGGTATAATTAATGACACTGAAGTTGACAGATATTAGAAATTTTTTTTTAATTTTAACAATTAAATTAATTAGTTAAAAATTATCATAAAAAAAAATTTAATAAAAAAATTCCACATTTAAAAATTATTATAAGAATTTTTTTATTGTAATTGATTTATTAAATAAATTTTTTAAATTGACAACTGATGACTAACTTCAGTATCATTATAATTATTATTTAATATATACTTTGATTTAAATAATAAAAATAATATTTTAAAAACTCACCCATGATTTGATAAATATTTATCCGTTTGTTTAAAAGTTGATAAAATAGTCTTGAAAAAAAGAACAAATGTAATTCTATATTACACCTGCAATCACCTGGTTACTTTCTGACTGAGAAATAACTCTGAGTTAACTAGAATCCAGCAGACCAGCGGACCAGCAGAGCGTCCTTGTGCAACAGGCACAAAAAACAAGTGGGAGAAAGGTGCCGTTACCAGTTTTATTTAATAGTAAATAAGTATAAGTACCCATGATATATAACCAAGCTATTCTCCAATCCAAAGTGAATTGAGAAAAATAATAATGACAGGTGTTATTATCTTGATAAAAATTTCCATTCTATTTTAAATTTAAGTATTCAATAATAAAAATTTATATTTGCCATATTCACCTTAAAAAAAAATATAATAATAATAATAATAATAATAATAATAATAATAGAAAGAAATAATAAAACAAAAAATAAAATTCATTTGCAATTATAATAAAATAAAAAAAAAAAAGTTGACTTACTTTGTAAGGAATTGAAGAACAAAATTACGTTTATGGTAAGCAAAGGGGAATAAAATGAATAAGAGCGTGGGTGTCATGTGGGTTTCTCCGTACACGGCACATCGTGCTTAGGACTTGACTTAACTTGAAGATGATCATGTCACATGAATTAAAATTCGAACGTAACCGTAATAGGCAAGAAGAAAATGCGAGCTGACGTATTATAATAATGAAAATTAATGTAGCAGATATTTAATCATTTTTAACGAATGAATTATTGCAAAAAATTGACATGAAGTTTTAAAAAATTAAAATAATTTTTTGGAAAAAATTTTTTTGTTAAAAAAAATTAACGAAAAGTCAAGTGACTTAACTTTAATCTCATAAATATTAACAACCTTGCAGTCACTACGTGACTGCCGTGACTTGTAAACTATAAATAAATAAAATTTTGATTTATTAAATAATGGCTTTTGTTAAATTGCACTGTACTTTCTTAACTATTGGTGTTATTGAAAATATAAGCTCATCCCGATGTTACACTCATCAAGAGCTTTCATTAGAGTACCCACATGCATTTTTGATATATTTTTCATATATAGACATATATAATATATATAAATATATGAAAAATTGATGTGGGTACTCAAATGAAAGGTATCGATGAGTGTAACTCCAGGATGAGCTTATATCGTTAAAAATATCATTAATGGGAAAAATATAACGCCATTGCTTTATTATTCACATTTTTTAAGATATAAGTTCATCCTGATGTTACGCTCATCATAAGCTTTCATTTGAGTACCAACATGCATTTTTGATATATTTTTCATATATACATATATATTATATATATAAATATATAAAATATATGAAAAATTGATGTGGGTACTCGAATGAAAGGTCTCGAAGAGTGTAATGTCGGAGTGAGCTTACATCTTTAAAAATATCAATAGTTCACAAGATATAAGGTCATTTCTTAATTATGGACATTTTTAAAGATATAAGCTCATTCCAAGGTTACACTCATCAAGAGCTTTCATTTGAGTACCAACATGCATTTTGGAAATATTTTTCATATATACATATATATAATATACATAAATATATAAATATATGAAAAATTGATGTGGGTACTCAAATGAAAGGTCTCAATGAGTGTAATGTCGAGATGAGCTTATATCTTTAAAAATGTCTATATTTTACAAGATACAAGGTCTTTTCTTAATTATATATCTAGCGATAGAGCATTTTCGAATGTAGCCTAAATACTTATCATCATAAATTTATTAACGGTGAGAATGATATAAAATCTTAACAAAAGGCACAAATTCAAGTATAGAACTTTGCAATGACACTAAATTTCATTAAAAAACCGTTTTTATCTTGGAAACAAAATTTTTCTTATTCTCTTAATAATATAGATAATATGAAACATGAACATAACAGCGGAATAAAAAAAAAGTATACAGTTTTTTTGTTTATTGATCAAGAAGCAATGTACTTCAATCAAGTTAATTTGATGGAAGTAAAAAATGATAAAATGCATCAACGTAAAAGCTATTGTAATTAATTTCATCTTTATTGTCACGCTAACGAATCCATCGAGTCTGAATGAATATAGGTATTGATATTGATTTATTAAGTGAATGTTAAATTAATATTTAATTTATAATGAGTAGTCAATAAACCTCGATCCTCCAGTAGAACAGTCGACAATAAGAACAACCAAAATGTTGGAAGTGTCATCTTTGATAAGAACGACTTAAAGAAAACATGCTGGAATAATGAACAATTGACATTATTGATGAGCCGGAAAATATTTCAGGATTTATTGCCAGAGGTTTGTTTTTTAAAATAATTTTTTTTTCTTGACTTTACAGAAATTTTTGAGGTTTTTTGAGTAAATGTCAAAATAGATCATTTCAAGACGTCGTATATATAAAAATGTAATCTTTTATTTTTTTTTTTTTAACCATCAGACTCGCGTTAATATCAGAGAGACACTGACATGACTCATAATGATACTCTTCCGTAGTATGATTTTGAAATCAGCAGACATTAAAAATTATGAAAATTAATTTAGCAGATATTTATTAAATTTTAACAATTTTTATAACAAATAAAATATGGCAAAAAAAAAAATGAAAAAAACAAATTTCTGAAAAAATATAATACTAATTTGTAATATTTTTATTTTTTCAACCAAAGTATAGTTACGAAAATTGACGATTCAGCAAAATAAATGCCGCATTTTTACGAGCTTATTACGATAAAGTTCACGTATCCACATTAACGTCGAACTTTTGCCGTATTGTCGGAATCGCGAGGGAATGTTCGCATTTTTAGCTATAAAACTTGGAATGTACCATTTTATTGAATTATGTTACTAATTTGACATTTATTATATTAACAGCTATTATTATTATTATATATAAATCAGTTATTTTGCCCTCGATTCACTTTTAACATTTTATTAATGATGTCAACTTTTTTAATGGATCTTTTCATTCATTTAACTTCATAATCAAGAGAAACATATTGTCATAATAGTGATTAACTATTAATTTGGTGCTAGATGTTGATTATAGTATAATACAAGTCATTCCTTAATTATATATAATTAAGAAATGACTTGTATCTCGTGAAATATTGATATTTTTAAAAATATAAGCTCACCCCGACATCACCCTCATCGAGACCTTTCATTTGAGTACCCACATCAACTTTTCATATATTTATATACATATATATTATATTATATATATTATATTCATATATGTATATATGAAAAATATACCAAAATGCAAGTGGGTACTCAAATGGAAGCTCTTGATGAGTGTAACATCAGGATGAGTTTATATCTTTAAAAATGTCGATAATTAAGAAATGACCTTGTATCTCGTGAACTAATGACATTTTTAACGATATAAGCTCATCCTGGAGTTACAATCATCGAGACCTTTCATTTGAGTACCCACATCAATTTTTTATATATTTATATATATTATATATATGTATATATGAAAAATATATCAAAAATGCAAGGGGGTACTCAAATGGAAGCTCTTGATTAGAGTAACATCGGGATGAGCTTATATCTTTAAAAATGTCAAAAATCAAACAATGACGTTTTATTTTGTCTACTAATGATATTTTTAACGATATAAGCTCATCCTGGAGTTACAATCATCGAGACCTTTCATTTGAGTACCCACATCAATTTTTTATATATTTATATATATGTATATATGTATATATAAAAAATATATCAAAAATGCATGTGGGTACTTAAATGAAAGCTCTTGATGAGAGTAACATCGGAATGAGCTTATATCTTTAAAAACGTTAATAATCAAGAAAGTACAGTGCAATTTAACAAAAGTAATTATTTAACAAAGCAAAATTTCATTTATTTATAGTTCACAAGTCATGGCAGTCACGTAGTGACTGCAAAGTTGCTAGTCTTAAATAATTAAATATAAAAAATTATATATTGATGTACACTGTCGATTGACGTTAAATAAATAAATTAATTAAAATTCAGGTAGAAACACTTGATGCTGAAAATGAGGAATTCCCTCTGTTAATGGTGGAGTACATGGACATTTGTTTGGGGATGGTTAAAAAATCAGCAACTGGTAGAATCCAACAATTATTGAAAAGAGCTTTGGCCGACACATTGGCCGGTTATCTTTACACTTACATTCTTCCTATGATCAGGAAATCTTATTACGCCGGTAATATCCTGTACGAAGATGCTAAAGAACTTTTTGATTTGTACCATGAGATATTAGGATTCATGCATACTGATGGAGTTGGTTGGATTAAGCCTAAAAATGATATCCAATATGAAGGAGAACCTATTACAGTAGAACCTGATCCTGAAGCTTGTTCAAACTTGGTTCTATATCCAGGTAATTAATCTGATTACTGTATTTAATGATATATATTTATTTGTTATTTATGTTACTTAATCGTACAGAAAGCGGAGCCCTTAATATACCGGTACCTTTTCTTGATGACAACAAAAACCCTACCAGGTAAATAAATTGATAAAAAAGTAAGCAATTTAGTAATAATAATAATGATGATATTGATTATAATGATAATCCATTGACCAGTATAGCATTGCCATTCCAGAATGAAAGTCTTTTTTCTCTTTTTACCGAGAACTCGGCATTTATTCTTTTAAAATACTACAAAGTTGGTTACGGTTGTATGTCATCTCCCCGAGAGAAAAGAGGAGGAGGTACAAAAGGCAATGTTAATAAATTTATAAAGCAATTTGATGATTGGTTGAATGAAGCTGTAAGTAATTTATTTATAAAAGATAATCTATATTATATATTTTTAGTAAAATTTAATGTCATTGCGAAGCTCAGGATTTGAATTTATGGCTTTTCAAGATTTCATATCATTCTCACCGATAGTCAATTTATTATGATAAATATTTAAGGCTGCATTCGAAAATTCTCTATCTCTAGATACATAATTAAGAAACGACCTTGTATCTTGTAAATAATTGACATTTTTAAAGATATAAGTTCATTCTGGAGTTGCACTCATCGAGACCTTTCATTTGAGTACCCACATCAATTTTTCATATATTTCATATATTTATATATATTACATATATGTATGTATGAAAAATATATCAAAAATTCATGTGGGTACTCAAATGAAAGCCCTTGATGAGTGTAACATCGAGATGAGCTTATATCTGTGAAAATGTCAATAATTAAGAAATGACATTGTATTTTGTCTACTGATAACATTTTTGAAGATATAAGCTCACCCCGACATTACACTCATCGAGACCTTTCATTTGAGTACCCACATCAATTTTTCATATATTTATACATATATATTATATATTATATATATTTATATATGGAAAATATATAAAAAATGCATGTGGGTACTCAAATGAAAGCTCTTGATGAGTGTAACATCGGGATGAGCTTATATCTTCAAAAACGTCAATATTTAAGAAAATACTGTGCAATTTAACAAGAGTCATTATTTAATATAGCAAACTTTTATTTATTTATAGTTCACAAGTCACGGCAGTCACATTGTGACTGCAAGGTTGCTAGTTAGTATAGAATAGTTTAATTATTTAATTAAATTTAATCAGGTAACTTTGCATCTGGATGATGAAAAGTGGTATCCAGCATTCGGTGGAGTTTTACAAGTAATAAAAAGTCTCAAAACAGCCGGTAATTGAATTTACTAAATTGATTATTAATTGGTGAAATAGATATTTGATCAGAACTAAAATGCAATTAATTTGATTTATTCAGAAGAAACTACTCAAAGTTCAATTGACTATGAAGAATCCGATAATCCTATCGTCCAATTAGCTCCAATTAGTCCTACGTCAACATGCTCACCAAATGAAGCAAATAAATCAACGTGGTCGACATGGGAAATTATTTTAATATGTGTAATATTCGCAGTATTACTTTGGCTGTTAGTTGGCATCTGTGTAGTATGTTGTAGAAAAAATTACTCAAATTATTATCGGGATGGAACACCGTAAGAATTTTTTTCCGTAATTATTTACAAGTGGGGTCCACCATTTCATTTTTATTGTTTTGAACGAAATTTCTATTTGATTTTATTGATTTATTTTTTTTTTAAATACGTAAAACAATAAACAATTAAAAAAAAAGTTGATTATCAAAATTTAATACGTTAGTTAATAACAAACATAAAATGAATTTGTTGTTAAATCTATTAAAACAACATTTGACCCGGATACAAGTTAGTACGGCTGAAAAGTTACTAGGAGAGAAAAATCAATTTTCTTATTGATTAAAAAAATTTTTTTTACAAATTAGTAAAATATAGACTCTTAATAACAAATTAGGAGTAAATTAGAATGAATTAGTGAAATTTTTAAATTTTAGTCATTTTCCCATTTCGTGTGGAATGCCCCTGCAATTTTTTAGAAAAATATCTTTTTAGTTGTAATTTAATTAAAAAAAAAAAAAAAATTAAAAATTTTTAGACGTCTGCTAACTTCAGTGTCATAAAAAAATAAAAAAATTTTAATTTTTCACCTAGATATGGCCAAAAATAGGGTGAACCCCACTTGTAAATAATGACCTTTTTTTCACTTATTTTTAAAAAAAATACCTTCTTTTTTCAAAAGGATTATTGATGTTTTCAATTTTTTATAGCTTTGCTGTGGTCTACAAAAATGACAAATGTATCAATCAGGAGAATGTTCCTTCTGGACGAGATGCTAGACAGTCAATGTGGTCATGGAAGAAAAAAAATTCTGATCCTGGTTGTCCGTGTGGTAAAAAAAAAAAAACAATTTTTATTTTGTTTAAGAAATTTTTTATAAAAATTATTTTTATTCAGAGTAATTTTTTCCCCTAAAATTATTATTATTATTATTATTATAATTATAAATAACAGAAAAATTTTTTTTTCTTATTGTTGGTTCATAAAAACGATCTAGGCGGAGAAGTTGATATTGAAGGAAGAGAAGAAGAATTTATAAGTGCTATGGACTATCAAAATTACATGACAAATGAAGTTAATGAAAGAACAAAAAAAATAGGTTTTACTTTAAAACCAACAGTTAAAAGTGCGCCTATTAACTATCACGATACGGTAAATTAATCCAATAGATATCTCACTAGTAGTAGTAGTAGATATAGAAGTAGAAATAATGGAAGTGGTAGTATAGTAGTGACTAATTTAATAGAATAGAAGTAAAGGCAAAAGATAAAAAGTAAATACCCTTTAATTTACAGGATTCAGTTATGTCTACCTCGGGAAGAAGTAACTGCTGATAACTCTAAATCCTCACCCTCGTGAAGCTAAATGATTATAAATAAAATAAAATAATTTAAACTGTAAAAAATTCAGGGTAAATTTATTTTATATATCTATATATAGTTATATATATTTCAACTGTGGTACATTAAGAAAGCGAGAGTAAAAGAAGTTAAAGAGAAAAAAAGGGGGCTTAAGGGAAAGGAAATGTTGAAAATACTTAAAGAGTCGGGAGGAAAATGATAAATGGAACGCGCAGGGGTAGTGCCATCTGGCAAGAACCTAGTACGTAGTACGTATACACCAACAGCACAAGGGAGAGCTTGATAGTCGGGCTGGGACACTGATCCCAGTCCTCCGCGGTACGTCGATACGGATAGAGTGTTTTTCCCATCCGCGTAAGTGATTTACATCAACAATAACACAAACCGCTGGCCAAGTTACTGCCTTTTTACACGTGACAGTTGATTGATCACGTGTATCATCTTCAGTAGCTCCGTTATAATAATAATAATTATTATTATTATATTTTTGTTATCAAGTGGCTAGATCATTAAATTGAATTTATTTTTTTGTATTTAAATTTTTAAAAGCATCGACTTGAAGCACCAAGATGAAAAGACTCTTCAGCAAATTACCGTAAGGACATCAAAGAAGAAGTAGAAGAGATTGTCGAGGGTTGCCATGTGCCCGAAGCAAATTCGTGACTTGATCTAAAAGAAAAAGGGAATTTCCTTTTTCTTTTTTTTTTTTTAGTTTTGTTTTTCTTCTTGGAAAACAAAAATGAACAGCCGGAGTTATTGGATTTCTTGCAGCATTGTTTCGCTCTGCCTGTTTGCCACCACGTCAATAGGTACGTATACGTATTCACGTGCACGAGTAAATATTTTTGTGATATCGAACGACACACTTTCCATTCATTGAACTTGTCAATACAATGATGACGTTGGATTTATTATTATCACTGGTATTATTGTTAGCTTGGTGCACTTATAGAAGGATTTATAAACTATTAATAATTTAATTTAATAAATATTTATTTGGGAGGAAAGTAAATTTGTTAATTGTTAATGAGTATTTGTTAATTGTTAACACTAAATATTTATTAAGTTAATAAATATTTTGATGATACTGAAGTTAGCAGACGTCTAAAAATTTTTGATTTTTTTTTTATTAATTAAATTACAACTAAAAAGATATTTTCTAAAAAAATGCACTTAAAGTTTTTCAAGTTTTTTACATGTGACAATTTTTTTTTTTTTAATTGTTTAATTGAAATTTTTTTAATAAAAAATTATGAAAAATTATGAAATGTCGGCTAACTTTATTTTCATAATATTTTGTTAAATTTGTGTCACTTGCTATGTCAGATGATATGAAGAAAGATTGCTTATAAACAAAAATCATCTTTATAAATTATTTGCATTAATTATATTACATTATAATAATATTTATTGTAACTTACCGGATTCTATCACAGCTCATAATTATTTTTTATATTTTTAAATATTAACAACGTTAATTTATTTAGTGAATTTAATTATTATAAAAATTCCGGATATAGAGTTATAAAAAGTGTCAAAAGAAAATTGCTATTTATGAAAATTAATTTAGCAGATACTCAATAATTCTAAGAATTTTTGTAACAAAAAAAAAATTAGAAAAAAAGCAAAAAAGAATTACTTAAAAAAAAAATTGACAAGTAGAAATAGACAAGAAAAATTTTTCGCGATAAAAATTCTCAGCAATAATTTCTTGTACAATATTTTCTCACACAAAAACAATGATAAAAGGTCCATGTTAATGTTGAAGATATAGAAGCATTTTTGTAAATCAGGAGTTGAGTTTCAAAAGGGTATCTTTTCATTTTTAATTAATCAAAAGAAAAAACTGGTTATCTTAAATTATAAATATTTTTATTGAACTTTTTTAATTTAGCTGTAAAGTGCTATCGGTCATGAAGCTACAATTCGATTTTCATTAAGAAATCTTTATAATTCTTGAAGTAGATAGATATTTATTTTGCATTGTACAACAGTAAAAACTGTTTTTTAAAATTTTTTTCATCACAATTTCTTAAAATTAAATCTGCATCTTAATAAATATTTAAAGCTCTGATTCTAGCACCACATTTACTTAAATATTTCATTTCGTCTTATTGTTAATATCACTTTTAACTAGCTTAAATACTTTAGAAATTTTTGGAACATTTTATATTAAATCAAAATACATTAAAGACTCTGCAAACTAACTTTTATGGCACTTGTTGGCAAAAATTAAAGGAATTTACTATAGCCTTTGTGAGGCAATTATGAAAAACTATAATTCTTGAAGTAATTAATATTTAAAATTTCAAAAAACTCCTCTTTTAAAATATGAAAAGATAGCCTTTTGAAAATCAGCTCCTCAAATGATGATTATAATTTTCGTCGAATTAATTTATGTTGTGATAACTTTTGTTCTTAGAAATAATTGTACTTGTGTGAGAAATTTTGACCTGGTGGCTTGATAATTTTTGCAAATTAATAAAGGCGGGAGCCGTACTAATGGTTGATGAATATTTGTTAACTGTTAACAAATATTTATTTTAAATCAAAAGCAAAAATAGCAAATGACATTAGAGTTAGCTGTCACTTAACCATTTTTTAATTTTTTTTTAACAAATAAATTTGTTCTAAAAAAATATTTTTAAAATTTCGGCTCCCGAAATTAAAAATTTAACTGTTAACAGTTAACAAATATTCATTAACCATGAATAAATATTTATTGACAGTTAATAAATATTTATTAAATCCCATGATTTTAAAAAATCATTTATTAGCAGTTATCTTATTAAATATAAACAAATCCTTTTATCAATATGGGTTTTAAATAAAAAAAACTCCATTAAATTTTATTTTTTCGTATTAATAGACATATTTACAATGAAAAAATTTGTAAATTCATAAATAACATTAACAATATAATTTATTATTGTTTCAATTAAATATATATATATTATATATACTTCTTTGGACTGAAAATGTTGAAGGTTCTCAAAGAACGGAGTGTTTATCACGAAAATAGTCAACACCCGGCGCGGTGGAGATCGCACGAGTCAACGCGTGTCAACGACACTCGGTTTGGGGTCGTGGTCTGCACATGGCACACACTGGTCGTCGGTAGTAGTCTCGACAGTCTAGTCAGAGAGGCCCTGGGTAGGCCGGAATAGTTTGCTAGGTGTACATGTAGAAAATAAGAGTAAGAGAACGAGCGCTTTGTACAAGCGCGCGCTTGTCGTGCCGGGCTATCGATCGGCATTTTGTGAATTATTTTAATTAGTGTCGCCAAAAAAGATAAAACTCCACCTCGGTTATAAACTGACGGACATGAATACGATTAAAGACACCCGTTGCCCCAACACGCACACCAAGGTACCTTATCGCTAGCATCACTTGTCTTCCGTAGCTTATCCGCTTCCGGACTGACTGCTGAGATTCGATCTTTTGGAATAAATTCACCGGGTTCTTGCCCAGCAAAACTTTGACTTTTTCCGGAGAGTCTCGCTTTATTTTGTTCCTTTTTAATAGACTTTTTAGGAGAATCTTGACCAGTAGAAGAAGATCTCCTCTCTTTATCTCGTTTATCCTCTAAGCAATGTTTTTCATTGCTTTCCGCCACAATAGAAGTATTATTTTTTCTCCTAGTTTTTTTCTTTTTTTTAATCTTACGTTTAGACTTGGATAACTTCTGCAAGTCTTTATGAGCTTCCATTTCACCGGAACTTGGACTTTGACTCGTACAACTGGAGCTTTGGCTATAACTCCGACTTCTGGTTTGAGTTTGTGTATCAACTTTGTTGGGATTTGTCGGAACGTTAGACCGAATTGGAACAACAACATTAGACACTGGTAATGTTGGTGCGGGTTTTCTCTCGGGTCGTAAACTTTTTGGGTAAGCTTGAAGGGGTATCGAGCTGGAAAGAGCCAAACTCCGTGGAGTTGGGCTTTCAAAAGAGGTAGCTTGATACTCATTGAGTTGAATTTGCCGTAATATACGTTGCTCTCGTCTATCAAGTGGCTCTAGAGTCCGATAAAACGGTTGTCCTGGCGTCCAATCGATCGGTGACATCTTTGGCGGCATATCCGTTGATATTTTACACAATTCAACTTTCAACTGGCTCTTAAAGGCTCCTCTGCTGCTGATAGTACTTGAGTTATCGGGTAAACTCTTAGCAGCAATCCCGAGATTCATTGCTACATCAAACGGACAGGTTTTGTCAGTTAGTTCCTGACAAGAGTACGATTTATTGAGTGAATCTCGAGGATTGCCAATCAATAGCTGATCAGAGCTTCCGTAGTCACGTTGTTGCTTCTGATATTGTTGGCTTGTTGCAGCAACAGCTCCTGATACGCAAATATCAGGAGAAGTCTTGTAAATAACAGTAGAGCTGGTATTCTCGCTGCTTGAAGATGGAGCAATTATTCCCGTTGTTGGGCTGTTGGTAATGAATTCCATGCATGAACGAGTGTCTGGATAGACCGAGGATGATGATGAGGATACATTGTTGTCCCAAGGCAATTGAAACGACGCCCGCAATTCCGTGGATCCAATTGATTCTGCGCAAGTCTGTCGATCCATTGTGGTGGTGTGAATATTACTTGTGTCTCCTTGAAAAATCTTTCCCTGCCAGCCAATCCCCGGTGATGGTAATATTGGTGGTGGTGGTGGTGGTGGTGGTGGCAGTGGTGGAGAAGGTAGAGGTGATGCTGGACCAATCTTATTGTTACTCATGGCTACAATGCTACGTGTTGAAGTGCAGGGTTGCTCTATCGTTGTCGACGAGTGGGTGACAGGACACTCAGAATTGATTATCCAGTTGAATGCATGTTGATTTAAGTATCTGTCCTTTTCCTCCTTGTAATGCTTATTTGATTCTGATTCACGCGGCGTTTTCTCAAACATTTCTACCTCATTTACATCTCTATACACCTTATCCTTATCCTTTTTTGTTGACTCCTCTGCCTCTTCTGTCACCACGGATAATTGATCAAAATCCACGTGCAAACGGTGCTGCAGAAGACTATTAGTCTTCTCTGAGGACAATTTTTGATTCTCAGCATTCTCCAAAAGTTCGTCTCGGATTATATTATCGTTTGAATTCAAAGGTTCTTTTTTTTTTTCTTTACTGGAATTTTCGTCGTCGTCTATGTCTTCCTCTTCTTCTGAGTATTCCTCGGTACCTGATGTAGATATCGCCTCGCTGTGCTCCTAAGAATTATTCATGAATTTAAAAACTAAATAATGCATTTGTTTTAATAATTAAATTATAAAAATACGTAATGGGAATTATTTAAAAACCTCGTTATCGTCACTGTCGACAAAATTCTTTTGGCTCTTGACAATCTCCTCTAATTTGTCGTATTCTTCTCGTAGACACCAAATTTCACGTCTCAGCTGCTCGTTTTCACGTCGTAGTTTCTTGATGTCATTCTGACCTGAAAAAATGTCGTTAAAAATAATTAGTGTTTTTTTTTAACTAACGAAAAAATAAAACAGACATCATTGTTACTATTATTATACCAAACAAGATTGCAAAAATAATTATAACAAAAAAAATACTATATTAATTATGTTACTTTAATTATAATATAATAAATAACTAATATTGAAGTTCTAATTAGCAAATTGTCTAATTCTATTTAAGAAAATCTTCCATTTGTGTGAAAAAAATAATTATTTCAAAATTTATTATCACTTTAAATTAAAAAACAATTTAATATCTTCTAGAAGTATTGTATTTTGGTTTGGATCATTCAAATATTTTATAATTAGACTATTACTATATGAAAATGTCAAAAAATTGCCTTCTAAAAAATAAAAAATAAAACCGATTGCTAATTAGACCGTCGATATATTTTTTGGTAATTATTTACAAGTGAGGTCCATATTTTTGGCCATATTTAGGTGAAAAATTAACATTTAAAAATTTTTTAAGGATTTTTTGCTTTCAAAAGTTGGAAAAAATTTTGGCTCTCATGTTTTTGGATAAAATTTCTATTTTATCTTTTTTTGATGTTTTTGATATATTTTTTTTTTTTAATACTACATAAAAAAACGAACAATTAAAAAACAAAAGTTGAATATTACAATTTTCTAAAAAATTTATAAATTAATAAAAATTTTGATAATCAACTTTTTTTTTAAATTGTTCATTTTTTTATGCACAGAAAAAAAGGTTCACTTGAGCCAAGAAAATATTTTTCTTCCTAATTATTTTCTTAGAAAAAAATTTTTTTTGACAAGAAATTTAACTTATTCCAACAAAATTCTCTTGATTTAAGAAATACGTATCTTGATCCAAGAAAATTTATTTGAAAAGAAAAACTTGTTTTGAGAAAATTCAGCCTCTTACTTCAAAAAAATTTAGTTCTTGATAGAAGTTAATTTTCTTGACGAGAAAATTTTTCTCTTGCTCCAAAAAATTAAATATCAAGATAGAAGTAAATTTTCATTAATATTTTTATTGATTAACATGTCAAATGGGAAGATCAAATAATATTTCATCATTTTTTTTTATTCAATATGTATAATTGCACGTTAAAAAAACGAAATTAAAGTTAGCAGTCATTTAAAAATTTTTTAATTTTATTGAACAAAAAAATTTGTTCCAAATAATTATTTTTGAAAAATTGCATTTTTTAACTTTTAAAATTTTTAAATGTCAATTTTTTAAAATTATTTTTTTTTGCCATAATTTATTTGTTATGAAATTCTTAAAATTCTTAAAAATATCCTAAATTAATTTTGATGCTAAAATAATATAAAATGAGTCTCAAATATTCAAGAGAAAAATTTTCTCAAGGTCAGAAAATTTTTTTCTCAGCTGAAGTAAGTAGCGCTGCTTCCCTAAAGTATCTAAAAATCTCGATCAAATATAAAAATTTATTGTATCAAGTATTTATGATAGAATTAAGAAAAAATGACTTCCACCAAGAATAGAATTCCAAAAAAATTTTTACTTCGCCCAACCCAACTTCAAGAATTTTGTTCTCCAGTCAAAAAAAATTTTTTTTGTGTATTTTTCAAAAAAAAATATCAATAAAATCAAACAGAAATTCCTCTAAAAAAAAAATAAAAATTAGAACCTTTGACCTTGTACAGAATCACCTACTTTTTTCATATAAATTAATAACCACATAATATTTTTATATACTGATAAAAATAATATATAATATTTGAACGTTAAAAGGTAGCATTGCTTAAATATTTGCCCATCCATCAGTCATTCTATTTTGAGGGTAAGATTGGCGCTTATATAGCACACCCAAGACGCCTACCCAATATTTTAAAAATTCATCTTTACTAAAATAAATTCTTTTCACCGACATAAAACAATAATCTCGACATATTTATGTGCCACAAATAAAAAAATTTATTACTCGTATGAAATATATTTAATAATAAAAATATAAATAAAACGAAAGCGTTTATATAAAAATATAAACAAAAAAAAAAAAAATTGTATTATAATTATAACTATAACATACTCTGATGTTTCTTTGTAGTACGCGTTCTCTCCCGCTCTCTCCTGTGCATTATGAGGCCATCGACACATTATTAATTATTATAATAATATTAAATAATATTAACTATTTATCACAAAAATAATTTAAATACAATATCCATGATAAAGATGTTTTTGATAGGCAGCAGCCAATAACAGCGTTCGGTAACGACTGATGGATTGGTATATAATTCTCTCACGATCGCGCGGTTGATTGCTATGTTGGCTTGGTATAAAATTAACAGAGAATGAAATGATGGAGAGTATTAAAGTCAGTAGTAGTTTGAGTTGATGCTGATGCTCTTTATGATTATTATTATTATTATTATTATTATTATTATTACAATGATGATGATGATGGGATGGTGTTGTAATACACGCACCAAAAATACAAGAATAAAACACAAGTGCGCATTAAACGGCAACACCAGATGTCCTATTCCTTTTGGCAGCATCACGATCTGGTAATCTATCTTGTGGTGGATTTGCAGCACCGATGGCTGAACAGTAACTACTATCAAACTTCTACGTAATTTTTTTCTCATTTCCATCATCCAGAGTCTGTAGTTACTTTTTTTATACACCACTACAGCAAATAATATTGACTCACAAAAGCAAACTTTTTACAAACTCTTCCAATATTTACTCTCATTTTTTTAATATTATTTTTGTTGCTAATTAATTTTTAATTTAAAAATTCCCCAAACCGCTGAATTATTATTGCGAGAACAGGTTTGCGGAAAGAACTAGCCCACGAAGCTGAACGACGGTAACTAAACGTCCAGCGAGTGGTGATCTATTTGTAGGCACAAGCACACAAATTAGTTAAACGCTTGTAGATGTGCCTTGGCCCACAATCTGCTTCGTTAAAGTCCTAAAGTAACCAATATCCGGACTGTAAATAATGCATTTTACCTATTTAATTTCATTTACTCCATTAAACTTATCAACACTATCTAAAAATTCGATTTAAATATTTTACGGTGGTACTTATGGATCATTATCATGGCCAAGAAGCTCCTTTTGGGGTCAAATTAATTTAAATAAATTAATTATCTCTCCTTTTTCTATTTTTTTTTATATCCTTCAAAAAAAAGGTTCTTTAGCTAAGAAAATATTTTTCTTTCTAATTATTTTCTTAGAAAAAAATTTTTTTTTAAGAAATTTTACTTATTACAACAAAATTAATACTCTTGGTTTAAGAAATACGTATCTTGCTCCAAAAAATTTAGTTCTTGATAGTAGTAAATTTTCTTGTCTTGAGAAAATTTCTCTCTTGCTCCAAAAAATTAAATATAAAGATAGAAGTTAATTTTCATTAATATTTTTATTGATTAACATGTCAAATGGGAAGATCAAATAATATTTCATCATTTTTTTTCATTCAATATAATTGCAAGCTAAAATAATATAAAATGGGTATCAAATATTCAAGAGAAAAATTTTCTCAGCTGAAGTAAGTAGCGCTGCTTCCCTAAAGTATCCAAAAATCTTGATCAAATATAAAAATTTTTTGTATCAAGTATTTATAATAATTTGAGTTAAGAAAAAACTACTTCCACCAAGAATAGAATTTCAAGAAAAATTTCAACTTCGGTCTTCCTTCAGTCACCCGAAATTTTTCTTGAACCAAGAATTTTGTTCTCTAGTCAAAAAATTTTTCTTTCTGTGATAAATCTCACCGGATAAACTGTAGTATTTTTGACAAATCTTCAAAATGTAAATTGTTATTTCCTTCGTTTCTCTCAAAATTATAAATTAAATATTTTCTTTTTTTTATTGTAATCTCATGGATATATATTACCGATTGGCGTTTTCTAAATAAATAAATAAATAAGGTAAAAGACCCAGTTATTGACACTGGCCTAATTATTGACACTTGCAATTTTATTTTAATTAAATAAAACAAATCGACTTTAATAAATTAATAAATATAATTTTTGAATTATAAATTTTAAGATAATTTGGCTGCCCAATTTCAAAACACAGTAACTAACATTTAAAAATTTTTTTCAATTTTTCTTATTAAAAAAAAAGTTTGCTCGCCAAATTGATGAAAAATTTGATTTGTGAATAGAAAATACTTGACTATATATAGTTGAAAATAACTAGTTTTCTGTCTCAATTAATCAAAAATAAAGATACCCTTTTGAAACTCAACTCCTCAATTGATTTTTTGAGAACATTTTATTTGTTTAATTAGAATAAAATTGCAAATGTCAATAACTGGGTCTTTTACCTTAAATAAATAAAAATTATTTCACCATCTGCTTCATCAATAGACAAATCAACTGCACTTGCAGTTAAACTTAGTTATTCTCCAATTAAATTATGCATTATTTAAATTTTCCCTATCAAAAAAAAAAAAAAAAAAAATTATATCGATACCGAATATAATTCCGTATTGTCCTTTGAACAGACTATTAAATTAAAACTCCAGACGATTTATTAAAACTATAGAATACTAATAAAAGATAAAAGATTTTTGCAACCCCATAGAAGAGAATAGCAGAATAATAAGCTGGGTGAAAATTTTACCTTGTTCGACTTCGGCATTAATGTGAATAGTCCTCAGTCTAAGCTCCTCATTCTCATAGATCATGCCCCTTGATGATTTGCGGTCGAGTTTGCGATTGGGCTTGAGGCTTACGTCCCGTCTTCTAGCTCTTAGCATCCCGATACCGCCGACGCCGCCACCTCCAACCCCCGTGCTCGTTATCATCCTTGCTAGTTCCTATTCGTGGCTCCTTGAGATCTGATCTTACTATCGCTACGACACTACTGCTATTATTCGTTAGTGCTGGTGTTGTTTCTGGTTTTGCTGCTGGTGCTTCACCCCTTATCGCAAAGTCCATACTTTCACGTGACTCACCACCCGGGCCTTTTCCGGTGGCCTCATTAATAAACGCCTTCGCGTTTACTTGCGTCTGCACACACCACTCTATACTCTTTTCATGAATATATATAATATATAACACAGCAACAGCTTCAGCTGGTTTACCAGTACAAGTACAGTACTTTTGTTTAAATTATACTTACTGGCATTACCTTCACAACTACTTTAATAATTTTAACATCCAGATTAAAACAACACCAATAAATAACTCCCGAATCAAACAGCTAGGAATTTTCCAGTTAAATTGATTCCGGAAACAAACAACCGCTTTTAAATCTGCGCGTCTATATGCTGCTAAAGTATATTACCGTGGCATTTAATTTTAGATGGGTACGTCCTCTGTTCGATACGCGATAGCAATAGCAATGCCAGCATTACTAACATTGAAAGATTTCTATCCTGGTGATTCCATCGTTGATCCGTACTATAAAGTACTGACTTTATGTCTTTTGATTTTACTTTTTTTTGCATTTCACTGAGAGAATAAAAGCTGCATAAAATAAATAAGATGAAAAAAAAAAAATTGAAAAGAAAAGAACCTTTTAAGATAATAGTAAATCCTCTTGATGCTACACTTGCATAAATTATAACACCATTAAACTTTGGTATCCGCTTCTAGAAATAAAAAATTCAATTATTGTAATAAAATAATGTTTAAAAGTCAGTATTATTAATTGAAGGTCTTATTAGCAATTTATCTAACTTCTTATTTTTTAGAGGATGATTTTTTAACATCATGTAGCAATAGTCCAATTATAAATTATTTGAATGATCCAAATTTATTTATTTATTTAAAGAATAATAAACTCAACAGCTTTTTTAGCTAATTACAGAGTTCCATTACAATCATTGTAGTTATTACATAGAAGATAAATCAAAATATTACATGGAAAAAAGTAAACTGTAAAATTCACTCGGATTCTGGTTGATTTTTAAGGTTTTAAAAAGTATAGCAAAAATATAAATATTTTTGAAATGATTACCTTCATGTTAATTGTATATCTATATAGTATTTAAATCCGATGCATTTAAATCATTTCAAATTAGATTTCTTAATCAGGGAAGTGCACACAGAAAAAAAAATGGTCTAGAATCAAGTATATAATTTTGAAGAAATTAATATTCTTGATTTGAGTAAAAAAATTCTTGATTTAAGGAAATTTTTCTTGATTCAAGACAATTACCCTCTTCAAAATTATATTCTTGGTTTAAGAATTTTTCTCTTGAATCAAATTGACTTTTTTTCAGCCTAAAAGCCACAATTTATAATTTAATATTGAAATATAAGTGATTAATAGCTGTCACTATAGTAAATAATGACTGTAATCTTAAAAAATTACAGTTCCAAACAGTAAAAACTGGCGTTTCAATAAATAGTCTATTCTATAAGGAGAAGGGGAAGTTCTCAATCTAGAAGAATTTAACATTTGAAACAGTAAAATTTTTACTCTTAAAATATACATTTTACCAGTCCAAGTAATTTAACCAGTTCTAAATCAATAATTATAGTTTGATTTTTAGCGTTGCGTTTAAAATTCACCATTTTACTTTGTAAATATTGACGTTGCTTATATTGAAAATTTAGTAAGTGTATTTTATATTTTTTACACATCATCCGATCATTTTTTAGGTATAAAATGATGAATATCAGTTAAAATTCTTAATTATTGTGTGTTAAATCATTAAAACAATACATGAGAATGTTAAATTCTCCACACTAGAGTATAATATTCAACACACAAATATTAACACTCTACATAATGACGAAAAATTTTTTACTGTGCACTGATAGAAGGATTTCTTAACATTTAAGATTTCTTTGTATTTAAGAAATCATTTCTTAGTTATTTAACAAATATTTCTTACACAGAAAAAAAATGTTCTTGAATTAAGTATATATTTTTGTAGAGCTCAATATTCTTGATTTGAGTAGAAAAATTCTTGATGTAAGAAAATTTTTATTGATTTGAGGAAATTTTACTTAATTCAAGAATTTTTTGTCTTGATTCCAGGCAATTGCCCTCTTCAAAATAACATTCTTGGTTCAAGAATTTTTCTCTTGAATCAAGTTAATTTTTTTTTCTGTGTAGTATTTATACTTCTTAAATAGAAAGAAATCATTCTATCAGTGTGTATAAATTGATTATTAAAATCACGATTTTACTGTTTGAAATAATAATTTTTAGCAGTTGATCATTACTTATTATTTATTATAGTTTACTTTTTTCCGTGTATACCTCTATTGGATATTATTAATTTATTAATTAATTTAAATAATAAATAAATAAATAAATATAAGATATTAAATAATTTTTTTAAGTGATAATAAATTTAAAACTAATTATTTTTTTCGTCAAAATGGAAGATTCTCTAAAATAAAGTTAGACAATTTGCTAATTTGCGATAAAGTCGTAATGATTGTTTACTCACTGCGGTAATAGTTGAAAGACTAATAGAAACATTGTGCAATAGATCTTGATCGACCCACGTGGACTTAAAGTAATAAGACCCAAAGCCAACGGGGGAGAATTGAATAAAAACACCAACGTAAAGCTCTTATTTGTTCTCTTCTCACGTACTTAGTAGTTTTTGAACTTATTTTTTTGGCACTGGAGACAGACAGTCACACAAGGTATATTATATAGAATATAGAAGATATAGAAGAAAATAAGTAAAGACGACAGTGTTGAATTTGGCGGCACGCTTCTCCGTTAAAGCCAGTCAGTATAACTGCGTTTGAGAGAGAAAAACACGCTCATTCCCTCCTATCCATACCAAACCCACCTATATACCATCAGCCTGGCCGGCGTAACATCTTCTCTTCACTTCCCTTCATCTCTTGTCTACATACTCCTACATACCCAGTTACAGTTTCCGTGTCTTCCATCTCATCTGTATACACAATTATAATGTATATAATATCGCTGGGTCTCTCTGGCTTGCTCGTTTCATCTTCACGGGGTGTAGTGGGCCAAAGCAAAAGCTAAGCGTTATCTTGCCGATCTAAAATTACACAAAAACCGTTTAAAACATGCCACGCACAGTAGTCTCATCTCACTACATCACCTATCCCATTCCACATGTGGATTCTCTATATATATAAATTATTTAAACCTATGTAGTATTTGTATCTATAGCTATAGATACATGTACGTAGGTACATACGTACTTGTTTGCTGGATTCATCAGACATTCCACTACTGGCATAACTTGGATTTATTTTGGTTTTTTTAGTAAAAATTTTTTACCTAAGAAAAAACAATTACTAAACATGCGCTGATAGAAGGATTTATTTATATTTAATAAGCTTTATTATCTTTTAATAAATGATTTTTTAACATCATAGGATTTAATAAATATTTATTAATAATAAATTATTTATTAACAGTTAATAAGTAATTATTAAGTACAGTTTATTAACTGTTAATAAATATTTATTTAAAATCAAAAGCAAAAATAGCAATTTTCTTTTGAAACTTTTTATAATTCTATAGCTGCGCTGTTAAAAATGTTTGTAAAATTATACAAATCGATGTTTACCACTGCGAAATTATGAAACAATTCTAGTAATTTTCCAAAAGATGTCAGGAAACTTAGTAAGATGTGTTAATCCTACTTGTATTGTAATTTTACGGAAGTGTTTTTCGAATTTCATGAAAAAAATTTTAGATTTACAAACATTGTTTGTAATTTGGTCTACTAGAAATTTTAAAATTTTTGTTAAATCACAAAACAAAGTTGTAATAGAAATTGCAATGGGGTCATTGAAAATTTAATAATTTTCTTTGTAATTTCAAATTTCGATTGTAAAATTATAGTATGAATTGTAATTTCACCAACAACGTCTTATATTTGCAAACATTTTTTATAATTTTATTTACCAGAATTTTTTTCGTATTCACGAAACAAAGTTGGAATATTAATTACAATGACGACTTTAAAATTTTAATACTTTTTTTTTGTATTTTACACATTATTATAATGTAATATAATTAATGCAAATAATTTATAAAGATGATTTTTGTTTATAAGCAATCTTTATATCATATGACATTGCAAGAGAAACAAATTCACTCAACAAAATATTTATTAATTTTTAATAAATGTACTTTCCTTCCATATAAATATTTTTTGAATGTTAAAAAAAATTTATTAAAATTTAATAATTGTCTTCAGATAAATTAAATTATTAATAAAGTTAATAAATCCTTCTATCAGTGCCAAACTCGCACAGAATTTTAAACGTATAATACATTTAATTACAATAGCACTTACAATAATACAATTGCAAGAACTGATGTACAAATTTAAATAAGTCAATAAATATCTTTAAAAAGTGAAGAAAAGACATTCCACTATCTCCGAGCTGGTACGTCCGCGCGGACTACAAAAATAAAGAAAAGATAAAAAATTCCAGAAAAATACTTATCTGCAACCGTCCGAGGAATTTCATCCATCGACAATGAGAAAATTTTTCTATATAAAGCATCTCTCGTCGGACGCTTTTAAGAGAGTGAAGATAGAAAAAGAGGACCCATGGATGAGATATTTATCGTTTACCAACGGATATATGAATCCAGTTATACGATATAAAACGTATATCATTTTATAGCTTTTTTTTTCCAATGCACTTTTTGATTTTTTTTATGCGATACGATTCCGACCGGAGAAATAAAACAGCATATTGGGGCGTATGCATATGTACACAGTATGACTGGATAATAGAGAATCTAGTAGTGTCCCCTCGTGCTTATAAACGTCCGCATAAATACATGATTCCACCCTCTATACTCCACGAATCTCTGGTAGACACGGGGGTAAATTAGACATGTAAATTATTCGGTATCTGCGACACTTGTCCCACTCGGTTTGACTATTATCTCCGCCTTTGTTAATCGATCCATCTGATTTATTGGTACTTACCACGTGCTTTGCGGTTCTGTAAATGTCTTTGCATTTCGAATTAACTGTCACTGATTTTCCTATCGTATATTTAATGGCTATTTTTAACTCGTCAAATTTAAATTTTATCATTTAAATTTACATTTCATTAAAACTTCTCTTATTATTTATTAATAACTCATCTATCCTAAAAAAGAAAAAAAAATGAAAATGAATTATCATCTTATCTCAATAACTTTCGTCTGACATTAAATAAAATTTATTTTAACATACATAAGTAAGTTGTATTATACATTACCTGAAAATGGTCCAATTGAACTTTTAATTTCGATAAAATAACTAATAATTGTCAAAAAGTCAACGTTATATAGTCAAATCAGAAGTAATTTTGTGAGTTTTCACATGATTTCATCAAAAATCAGCTATCTTTTTCCTATCAAAAGTTATATATAAATAAAGTCACTGAAAACGTAATTTTTACTATTTTGATTGATTATTTTGCAGAGCTACTATTTATGAACTAATCAAAGAATTTCGCTCATTTTAATGTTCATGTAAGCTAATTGTCTAAGGAATTTGTTTACTAAATTTCATCAGGATCTGTTGAGAATTATAGATAGAATAACATTCATAAGTAGGTTGTACTACACATTACCTGAAAATGGTTTAATGTAACTCTTAACTTTGATAAAATAACTAAAAATGGTCAAAATGTTAATGTAATTTACTCATATGTTACTTACTTAATTTATTGTATTGCATTCTACTATAATGTTTCTGCTTTATTATCTAACTACACTATTAAATTTAATTATTACTCGTTAATTACATCCAAATCTTGTATTATTGCCTTTCGGCTGTCTTGGCATTTGAATTTAATAAATAAATAAAAATAAATCTCCTGTTAAAAATTTTATGAACATCAAATAAATCCTCTCACCCCAAAATATCTTAGGAAATGCCTAAACACAGCTGCTGTTAGAAGCAGAACTCAAAATTCCAATTTTAAAAGGTTCTCTACGGAGGTTACATTTTGGCACACCCTATTACATACATATCGATGGTCTAATTAGCAATTTGTCTAACTCCTTATTTTTTAGAGGGTGATTTTTTAACATTTTGATGCAGCCATAATTTAATTATAAATTATTTGAATGATTCAAATCTAAATATTATATCTCTATTAGATAATAATGATATTAAATGGTTTTTTAAAGTGATAATAAATTTTGAACTAATTGTTTTTTTCGTACAACTAGAAGGTTCTCTAAAATGGAGTTAGACAATTTGCTAATTAGAACGTCGATGTATAAATTTTTTAACTAACGTTATTTTTGAGCTTTATTCGACTAGTTAAAAGATATTACAACAAAATTCCAACATGAGGACCAATGCAAAAGATTGATTTCCATGAAATCTACCTAAAAGTAAAATTAATGAAAAGAGATAATCATAATGACCATTTTAACGGGCATTAATCCCTAAAGATTTATATATTTAATACAATAATACCAAAAGCTAGGTAAAACATGTTGTCGAATTTCTATTGTCATTTAATCCCAGAGTAAAATTCATTTAATCTATCTAGCGTATGAACCTTTTCAAGAGATAGAAGATAAGGTCACTAATATTCCAAGCAATCTTATCGATACTGGTATAATATTAGGGGATCTCTAAAAGAGAGTAAGAGTGTTCATGCAATATCCGATGACTCGTCTGGGCAAATTAACCTTCTGTATGTACTACCCATTTTCTCCATCACCAGTTAGCTCGTATCCACGGATTGGGATTTTTCTTTACTCTAGGGATCAGTTGGGAAAAGTCGAGCGTAGAGAGTAAAGTAGAGTAGGATAATACTGAGAGACAAGTACATAGAACATATATATCTATATATCTATATATGTATATACCCACATAACGGATGAAAATCCGCAAGTAATCGTGGTAGTATAAGCTTGTAGGGGCTTTATGTCCTGGGGTAAACGAAGAGGTGAGGGGATATGGGTTATATGAGCCAGGGGGTAAACGAGGGGGTCAGGATCCTAGGTTTTACGAGGGTACGTTACCACGGCGACACTTGTTCCGAATTTTGCCTGTGGCCTGGTCTGCTCGCTTGCTTTCTCCATCGAGAAAGAGCTTCGACTCTACTCTACACTCTACACTACACCACCAGCTTTTAGAGCTCAAATACGCCATCCACACCATGTCATACTCCTGGTATATCGCATAGCATGGTATCAACTGGACTCAACAGTCTGCAAAAATCCTACTTTGCTTCTATCACACACATTCATTTAACGACCGTTCTTTATTGACCGTTCCACAAAATTGCATGGAAATAATTCATTTTTGTTGCAGCTCAACTGATCGAGAACACGACACCACCAATTGAATCTCCTGTATCACTTGTGACTGAAATAAAGCGGTAAATATTGTTAATAATATTTTATTATCCTACTTATAAGTATAATACTAAAGTTAGCCGACGTTTCTTTTTTTCGTTTATTAAATTGGAACAAAAAAATATTTTTTTTTTTTAATTTAATTTGAAGTTTTCAAATTTTTTACAAATTAAAGTAAAAGACCCAATTACTGACACTGGCCTAGTTGTTTGACACTTGCAATTTTAGTCTAATTTAAAAAATAAAATATTCTCAAAATTTATAATTAAAAAATTATTACTTGGAGTGCACTAAATGCAAAATGTACCAAATATTTTAAATTGAAACAACACAATTATAAATTAGTTATAAGGCCTCCTCCCTCTTGCAGTAGGGAAAACTATGTATCCCTTCTAAGTGCAAAAAATTATATTATTATTATATAATTCAAAAATTATATTAATTAATTTATTAGAATTGATTTTTAATTAAAATAAAATTGCAAGTGTCAATCTTAATTTAAAAAAAAATTTTTTTGTAATTATTTTTTTAATAAAAAATAATTATAAAAATTTATTAAATGTCGGTTAACTTAATTTTTATATTCCATTAAAGTAAGCAGTCTCTTCATAATTTTTTAATTTTATTTAACAATTAAATACTTTCTGAAAAATTATTTTTAAAAAATTGCATTTATAATTTTTAAAAATTTCAATTTTTTTTTGCCATAATTTATTTGTTAAAGATATTCTTAAAATTATTAAATATCTTCTAAATTAATAACATTATAAAGTTAGCCGACGTTTTTAATTTTTTGATCATTTTTCATTTTTCTTTATTTTTTTGTAGTAATTTTTTTTAATAAAAAAGAATTATTAAAATTTTTAGATGTCGGCTAACTTAAGCTTCATTAAATTAATATGATACTGAAGTTAGCAGACATTCAAAAATTTTTAACTTTATTTATTAATTAAATTACAACTAAAAAGATATTTCTAAAAAATTGCACTTATAGTTTTTCAAGTTTTTTACATGTGAAATTTTTTTTTTTAATTGTTTAATTGAAATTTTTTCAATAAAAAATTTTGAAATGTCGGCAAACTATAATACTAAAGTTAGCCGACATTTTCAATTTTTTAATAATTAAATTAGAACAAAAAAATATTTTAAAAAAATTGCACTTATAGATTTTCAAATTTTTTCACAAGTGAAATTTTTTTTAATTTTTTTGTAATCATTTTTTCAATAAAAAAAATTTCTAAAAACTTTTAAATGTCGGCTAACTTAATTTTCCTCGGCAAATTTCATTTTCATTAAATTAATTCTCATAATTTTCATCCTACCTATATATATTTTTCTTCCATTTCACATTACATTTTATATATATTACATCTGCTAGCCATCATAGTAATTTCATATTTTTTTATTGTTATGTGCTGTACAATTGAAATTTGACATAAAACATTCAATTGTCCTTGCCCTTGTCCTTATTCATGTCACATTTGACGACCACTATATATAAAACCTCTCCAGTAATTTTTTTTATTTTCTTCATATCCTTTTTACATTTTTTCACACCATGCACACCCACCCCCTCATTCTCTCATCTCTCATCCTTCTCTGGCGCGCAATTGCCTTTTAGTTTCAATTGCAACCGCAGGTGGCGCTAGTTAAAATTTTAAAATGGCCGCTTATATTGTTGTCAACAAAAACTACTTATGTTCTTTAATGTTTTGATATTAATTTTAAAGTTTTTTTTTTCTTTTAATTTATTATGAAGCCCCACGTGTTGTTTTTGCTGTTAAGATATTTTTTATTAATATATGGAGTGTTGTGTGACATAAATTTAGATTATTTAAGGTTCGTAATTTAAATCTTTTTGCGACTCTGACATTTATACTTATTAAATTAATTATTTATTTATTTTGGCAACATGTGGTCATATCATTGCTTTTAAGCCAAATTTATTATTTAAATTTTTATTTTTATTTACTTTATTCACGCTCAATGTTAATGGATTTATTTATTTTTAGAGAGAGTAAAGAAACGCCAGAAAAATTAGAGCAAAAAAATGATGCTGAGCTTGCAAGTACAAATGCTATATTGTCAATTACGGAAAAAGTCACGACAGTTATGACGAGTGCTCGACCAAAAATGCTGGAAAAAATAGTACAAAGTACGGAAATAAATTCTCCACCTGGAATTATTTTAACAACAAAAACTGCTGAAGTACCTGGTCATAAAGTCAATAACGAGGACGAATGCGAGGTTATTATTTATACTCATTTTTTACACTTAAAATAATGTATATGTTGGAAATTTTTTATAAATCTTCATTTTTAAAGGTGTATGTTGGTAAAACGTGTGCAGAATTTGTAGGAAACCAGTCCGTTCATATTCCATTTCCAGCAACACAAAAAATGCTGGAGGAAAAACTTGTACAGGCATTTGGAGTTATAAATTATTCAAAGTAAGATCATTAGATTATTAATTTTTACTAGCAACCTTGCAGTCACTGTGTGACTTCCGTGGCTTGTGAACTATAAATAAATAAAATTTTCTTTATTAAATAATGAATATTGTTAAATTGCACTGTATTTTCTTAAATATTGACGTTTTTAAAGATATAAGCTCATCCTGATGTTACACTCATCAAGAGCTTTCATTTGAGTACCCACATGCATTTTTATATATATAATATATATAAATATATAAAAAATTGATGTGGATACTCAAATGAAAGGTCTCGATGAGTGTAACATCAGGATGAGCTTATATCTTTAAGAATGTCATAAGTTGACAAAATAAACTATAATTTCTTCATTATTGACATTTTTAAAGAAATAAACTCATTCCGATGTTACACTCATCAAGAGCTTTCATTTGAATACCTACATGCATTTTGATATATTTTTCATATATACATATATATATAATGTATATAAATATATAAAAAATTGATGTGGGTACTCAAATGAAAGGTCTCGATGAGTGTAACATCGGGATGAGCTTATGTTTTTAAAAATGTCAATAGTTCACAAGATACAAGGTTATTTCTTAATTATTTGTCTAGAAATAGAGCATTTTCGAATGCAACCTAAATGCTTTTAAATTTAACAAAAAAAAACCGATTTTATCATATGACTATCCTGAAAAATTTATTCTACAAAATTATCTTATCTTATAGTACAAAATTGATCTTATTTTTTTAATAACATAAATCATTCATTAATAATGAATTTTTAATTCAATTACAGAGATATTTCGCCTAATTGCGCAGTATACGCAAAACCATCTCTGTGCTACTCAACCTTCCCCATCTGTCGAGATCGATCAGTAACAAGAACGAACGCAAAAACATCAAATTTAAGTTTACAACTTTTCAACTCATTGAATTCTAACGACCAAGCGGATCTGTTGGACGACGAAAATGAAGGAAGTGACGAAATGTTAACAGTTCCAGGTAAAATTCGAAAAAGACGAACTGGCATAACTCGTCGTTCTTCTCGAAATCAAGAAAAGAGTAGTAAAATTATAAACCAGAGATACGGCGAGCCAATGTCAGCTCGAAAGGATTTATTGAATCAAAAGCTGCGTCAAATATGCCGTGAAGATTGTGAGATTCTCGAGAATGAACTATGTAGAAAAGAATATGCAATTGCTAAACGACACCCTCTGCTTCAGCAGTTGCGCCTACCCGAGTGTTCTGATTTACCACTCCAGGGAACTAAAGAAGCAAGTGATTGCTTATCACTTGACGTACCAAGTATCCAAAACGCCGAAGAAGATGTTAATTGTTACTGGGGCAACGGTATGACTTACAACGGAACCGTCAATTACAGTATATTTAACCGACCATGCTTGAAGTGGATCCACCAGTTCAATCTCCAGATCTCAGACTACCCCGAGTTACGCGGCCGGCACTCATACTGCCGCAATCCAGGCGGAAAAGAAGCACAGCCTTGGTGCTACGTCGACGTAAATAACAAAATGCAAAAAGAGCCCTGCAGAATAATGAAATGCGTGGATAAAATTTGGATTTATGTGACAATAATTTGCGTTCTATTAGCCGGATTTATCTTTACACTAGCTTGCTACTGCTGCTGCTATCGGAACAGAAAATTCCGTCGACGTCCGTCGAATACTTTACCGTGCGGTAAAATGCTAACTGGAGTCCAGTGTGATAAAAATATCTATGACGGTAGAAGAAATACCACCCAGCCAATTGAAATGACATCTCTGCTAACAACTGGAGGCGCCACTGGTACTTTAAACAGCGTATCAAGCAGCAGATCTTCTGCTACACGATGTGTACCTCAGTATTCATTAGAAAATGTGGCTCTGCTCCAAGAATTGGGCGAAGGAGCATTCGGAAAAGTCTACAAAGGAGAATTGGTTCCAGTTCCTGGAACAAAACTCCAAGAGCCAGTTTATGTTGCTGTTAAGACTTTAAAAGAAAATGCAACGCCAAAAACTCAAAGTGACTTTAAACGTGAAGTTGATTTAATGACTGATTTACGGCATCCTAATATTATTTGTCTTCTGGGTGTTATTTTAAAAGGCGAGCCTATGTGCATGCTGTTTGAGTATATGACTCAAGGAGATCTTCATGAATTTTTGATTCATCACTCACCGCGATCCGACGCTCCAACACTTGAAATGGGAAAAATTCTTGAACAGCCGGAATTCCTTCACATTGCTTTACAAATTGCCTCGGGTATGGAATACCTAGCGAGCCATCATTACGTTCACCGTGATCTTGCGGCAAGAAATTGTCTGGTTGGTGAAAATTTAACTGTTAAAATATCAGACTTTGGATTATCACGGGATATTTATAGCAGTGATTATTACAGAGTACAATCTAAAAGTCTATTACCAGTTAGGTGGATGCCACCAGAATCAATTCTCTATGGTAAATTTACTACCGAGTCAGATGTCTGGAGTTTTGGGGTGGTCCTATGGGAAATTTACAGTTACGGTCTTCAACCTTACTACGGCTATAATAACCAAGAGGTTATTGATATGATTCGTTCGCGACAGTTATTACCTTGCCCGGAGGATTGTCCTACTATGATTTATAGTTTGATGATTGAGTGTTGGCACGAGGTTGCTAATCGTCGGCCGCAATTCCCTGAGATACATCATCGATTGCACAATTGGTATGTCAATCAGACTTATCTTACCAACCAACAGAAGATCAATAGTGGTAATAGTAGCAAAGTCAGTTCTCCCGCGCTATTTAATCACGATTCACTTGCTCGTAAAGATAATTCAAGGAGCTGTGCTGATATGGTGGTATCTATGAGAAAGGCAGACAGTCAGGGTAGTGTTAGTAATTTCAATTCAACTGTGAATGGTGATGATAAACCTTGCTATTCACCGAAACTTAGTGGAGCTAAAAGAGTTTTACCTAATAGTCCGCCGCTTCAAGGCAGAAACTCACCAGTTGCCAAGACTACACAAAATGGAGCACAAATGGTCGTTAGATTGGCAGATCCAAGCAAAGTTTCTACTGAAACGCGAATTACTAAGTGAATTATTTATTTATTAATTTATTAGATAATTAAGTGAACTAAAACAATTTTTAATAATGATAATAATAATAATTCGCAACGCAAATCCCAAAAGGGCAAAAGTATTACAGCAGCTAGGGTTTTACGCCAAAAGGGTGTATAAAAAATTTTTGAGCCATTCAATTTAGAACTGCTCAAAACGTAAAAATTTGTCAAAAAAAATTTTTCAATGTATTAATGCCAAAAGGTCATATCTCAAAATATAGACCCTTTTGACTTTAGAAAAAATTTAGCCTAAAGCCAAAAGGGTGTATAAAAAAAACTTTCAATTTTTCTCTGAAATTTAGTTTAGTTGATTAATAATTATGCTAAGGCTACTGCCAAATGGCAAAGAGAAAATATACATAAGAATTTTTACATTATTTTGCAGTTTAAAGTGTTTTACAAGAAAATATTTTAAAGATAGATAATATTGAATTGATATAAAATTATGAATGAATATAAAAAATTGAATTTATAAAGAATTAACTAACAAATTTAAGAATCATTGAGATAAAAACAAATAAGGAAATTGGAATTATAAAGAAGCTATATCGTGTAAGTTGACAAGAATTAGACGAATAACAATAAAAATAAGAGAATTGACTAATAGTTTAGAATCATACATCAAGATTAAATAAATAATCAAACATCTTGTTTTTGAAAATTTCCAAGCTAGACGAATTTATAATATACTCTGGTAATTCTTCCCAGAGTCGTATCACTGTAATAACGAAGGAAGATTCATATTGAATTGTACTGAAATTCGGTAATTTAAAGAGGATATTATTATTTTTCTTCGCTGCTAGTCACTCAGAGCGTCTTACATTATTAAGGTCTTCTTGGAATATTTCACGCAAATAACAGGGTTTACCAATTAAAAAGTGAAATATAAAATTTAACTCTAAAAAATAAATCCAAATCATCATACACGAGTAAGAAAGATTTTATATAATTAGATACGATTATATATAACTTAGATATAATTATATATCGTCTATAGATAATTGGGTATAATTTAAATATAATTCTATATAATTATATCCAATTGTATAAAATTATTCGAAATCATGAAGGAGAATTATATAAAATTTTATATAATTAGATACAATTCTATAAAATTTTATGTGATTCGCCTTCACAACTCTATACAATTTTATACAATTATATATAAATAGATACCATTGTATAGAATTATATCTAGTTAGACACAATTTCATAAAATTATATAAAATAATTTTATACAATTATATACCATTTGTATCCAATTTTATCGGGTCATTTTTTTATATATAATTATAAATTTTTTTATATTTAATTATAAACATAATTTATATTAAAATTGTAATAATAACCTTTAAAAATACAAATTTAATAATTATTATGTTTTCAATACTGCAGCAAAAAATTAGTAAGATATAACTCACAATTCAAAAGCAATTGGTAAAAAAAATTGTGCGCCTTTTTAGCTTTAGGTCACTAAATTTTCAATGTCCTAAAGCTAAAAGGGCGTTTAAGAAGACATACGCCCTTTTGGCTTTGGAAATTTATTTTTTTATTTTTAGGCTTAGTGTTAATTAAGCAATTAGTTAAAGAAAAAAAATTAATATGCACCCTTTTGGGATTTGGGTCACGAATTGTTATTATTATTATTATTATTATAATATTTCTTAATATTCAGCTAAAAGCTGAATGATGACTGAATTTATAAATATTGTGTATTTCGTACTATTTACTTGTATACAATATCACATATAGGATTGATCTCCTAGCAATAATTGTCAACGTCCTAAGTATTATAAAAGAAAAATATTAAGCTCACTGCGATATCAATGTGTTATCTATCGCAAACCATTTTTTAACCAAATGGATACAATAACTTATGTGTTCTATAAATTAAAGAAGAAGGATGAAAAAAATCTAACGGCTACAACAAGACATTAGTTGTAATGTACGATGTATTTAAGATAAATACTTGTCTACGTTAAGATTTAAGTGTTTAAGTGTTCTAAAACTTTCTCAATCGTTTGTGGAACATGGAGCAACGCTGAAAAGGAAAAAAAAAGAAATCAAGTATTTTACCGACCTGTGCACAGGATAAGGGATTTTATATTATTAACGATGTACTTAAAAGTTCAGTACCTAGAATTAGTCAGCGGTAATTCTCTATCCACTACAATGAATTACAGTGGATGTAATTTTTTTTATAATTTTTTTATCGACTAAAATATCGAGAATGATTAAAAGACGAAATATTTAATTATTATAAATTAAGAAATATATTTCTTTTAAATGTGTGGAACTAAACGACGGATCAACGAACGACCTAATTATTTACATTTTTTTTTTTTTATATTTAATAGTCGTAAATTCGTCATGTATACAAAGCCATTACTTATTGATATTTATATTTATATTATATATTATGATTATTATATACAGTTAATTATTAAGTCGTGTAAAATTTTTATATATTCAATCAAATATAATACAAGATTAATGTTTTTGTAAATATTTTGTTTTATTTTTTATTCACCCAAATTAAAAATTTAAAAATCATTTTTTAGAGTTAATAAGTTTAAAAAATGGATGAGAATAATGAAGAAGTAGCAGTTCGACAATTTACACAATTTATGTCTCTAAAGAGACATATCGTTAAATACCATAAAAGGTATATAATCTTGTTATATAGCACATCTAAACTTGAAGACGAATTTCTCAAATGAATTGACATAATACCTACGTTGATTTATAAACTTCCATTAATAACTAAAAATACTTAATTCGTTGATGAAAAATACTTGTAAAAATAAATTGCAAAAAATAATTAAGATTTTCTGTAAATTATTTAAATGTTATGAACAACTACATCAACATTGAATGATAAAATAATCTAGCCAAGCTATATAAGATTTACACGTAAAAGTGGTAGTCAGCGCCAGTCTTCCCCACCATATACTTCGCACCCTGCCAATATATACTATATCACAGGACCATAACAAATAAGTCAAGAATTAAAATCCTTGCTGGTAATTCAACGCGTCGATATTCATGTAAGTATTATAATTTTTGTTAGGTAAAATAGTTATAATTATTAATTAATTATTTTTAAAATAGTATTTAAAATAAATAAAAATTAATTAAATGTATTATAAGTTTTAGGACTCAAAACAATATCAACATGGGAGGCGAAATGATGTTTCACCATCACGACAAACCTATAAGTAATCTTGCAGATTATGAAAAGTTAGTTCAAGATATTGTAAATGATTGTAAGAACCAAGTGGTACCTGTTGAATTTAATCTAGACAAACCTACGGAAATATTGACTGAAGAAGAAAAGCAGGATTTTCCCTCACCATGGAGAGGGAATTTAGGTGCAGATAAAGATTATATAGTCGGCATTACCTTACAAAAAAACAAAAACGGTTATGGTGAAAGGAGATTTCGTAACGATCATTATTATATTTTATTTCCAAAGGATCCAAATACTTTCAAAGTTATTTCATGGATGCACGCCAGAGGATTTGGTGGTATTGAAAACAAAAATTATCTTTACAAATTATTGATATTAATTACATTATTTTATAATAACGTTTGCTGTAACATAACAAATTTTATCACAGCTCAAATATCTTTTATATTTTTAATTATTAAGAACGTTAATTTATTTAGTGAATTTGAATTATTATCATGCATTAGCTGTAAGGTTATAAAAAGTGTCAAAAGAAAATTGCTATTTTTGCTTTTCATTTTAAATAAATATTTTTTAAAAGTTAACAAATATTCATTAACAGTTAATAAATCTATTTTATAAATAATTTATAAACTGTTAATAATTGCATACGTGTGCCTCAAAAAAATATTTTGCTTTTGTCATAATTGAATCGAAGTTTAATTTACTAATCTGTTGCTTTTTTATTATTATTAGTTTTGTTCTAAACTTAACGAATTTTGTTTACTAACAACACAAATCTAATTTAAATAAATAAGCATAAAAACTTTATACATTAAACATAAAAAACTAATTAAAATTTACAAAATAACCAATGTTTGATAATCGGTCAACTACTGGAACACTCCGGTCAATTTACTGGATCAAGCCGGTCAACTACTGGTGTTTTTATCTTACCTGCATTTAAACGTCAATTTATATGTAATTTTATTAATAATTATCATTGAAGCTGTGAGTTTAGAGAGTTTCAAAAATAAAATGTATGATTATCTGTTTAATTTGGATGGTTAGTAATATTAGATCGTGATAAATCAAGATAAGAATATGGTTAAATTAAATGATGTATTTGATCTCTTAAATTTAATTAATTTTTAGTGGTTATTCTTGGTACTTAGATAGTTTTTAAGTTACTAGTCACTACAGCATTATTTAATAATGATGATAGCTTCCAGCGATAGCTATTTTTATAAGTTTACAATCATTGCGTATAATTTTCTTTTTATTGTATTATAAAATTTTGTACTTTTGTAAAACTTGCCATCTGGCCAGCAGGCTTTGGCATAAATAAAATGAATCTGAATCTGAATCTAATTTAACACGGTGATTCATCTCTTCGATAAAATATTAAATTTAACTATGTGATTTAGTAAAAATTCAATTTTATTATTAAAATCTGTTATCAATCACAATTGTTGATATTTCACGACGATTTAACATATTTTTATAATGAAAAAGTAGTAAAATTTAATTCCAAGGTATAAACTATTTACCGCAAAAAATTCTACTAGGCTTTTCTCTCTAATCTCAAAAAACATATTTTGCAATATTATTAATAACACTGTTCATTTTTTAATTTTTTCCAGGCATCGCCAAATAAATTTATTTCTGTGTAAATTTCGAGCCAAAATTATATATATAATATAATATAATTTAAAAAATATACTAATTGTTATATTATGCCTATTAGCATTCAAATTAATAAATAAATAAATAATTATTATTAAATTTATTGCTATTAAACTTATTTAATGAACTTTTACCTTGTTTATTTAAAATATTCCCGCTCCGCTTGGCAGGAGCATCACGTGACGACACCGATATCTGCTGACAAAAAACATAAACCTTCACCTCGTACTTGTGTACTCTTGTGTGCTCGTACTTTTATTTTCCTTAGAAACCAGACGGGAGTGAAAGAGTGTGAAATGTCTCGGCAGAAACCAGGAAAATATCTACCGGGCAACATATGACACCAGTGACAGCTGTCAAGAATTTAAGTCTCTTCTGACTGGGTCATTAAAAGTTTAAAAAATTTTTAAACACTTTGTTATTTCATAACAACAGTAAAATTAATCTTTATTATTATCGCGCGGTATTGATAAATTATTTTTATTGTTTTGTTAATAACTTATAACGTCAGTTATAAATAATATTATATTGTTTGACACATAAACAATTGTTCTTTAATTTTAGATTGTTAAAAAGCATATACGCATATTATTAAAAAAAAAAATTTATTAAAATATTGATGTTAAACAACATATTAAGTTAATATAAAAGTTAGTGCCTAAAATGAAGGATAAGGAAAATATAAGTAGTGATTTTTGTTGTAAAATGCCTGAAGAATCAGCTTCCAGTCGTGATGAAATAATAATTGGTGGAATTGAAGGGTAGGTAATAAGTTATTACACTAAAATTGACAGACATTTGATAATTTAATAATTTTTATGATTTTTTTTTTTAAGAAAAAATGATAAAAATATTTATTTAAAAAATTTTACAAGTAAAAATTATGATATTAAAGTAAAAAGTCACTTCTGACCTTTTTTTAATTTTTTTTAACAAACAAATTTGTTCTAAAAAATTGCATTTTTAATTTTTTTAAATTTCTTCATGTCAATTTTTTTTATAATGTTTTTTGCAATAATTTATTTCTTGAAAAAATTATTAAATTAATTTTTATGTAAAAATTGTAAAAAATAATAAATAATTTTTTAGAGATAATTTATTTATTAAATAAAATTTAAAAAATAGTCAAGCGTCTGCTGATTTCAGTGTGTATATTCTTATAAATGCGCTTCAAGTAGCTGCAGGACAGCAAAATGTCATGGACTACAGCTGCTGGTAGTGAATTTAGGAATGTACGCTGTATTATAATAAGTTTATATTATTTTTAATGATAAACAAAGAAATTTATGATCTCTGTTTTTTTTTTTACACCCATAATGTTATCAGTTGATCATGAATTTAAAAAAAAAATTTTATTTGCTATCTTGATAACTATTAGGTAATCTATTGATAACATAAATAACTTCCTTATACTTTTGTAAAATTTATTGAATTTTAAATAGTCTGCATAGTTAATTTAAAATTTATATATTTATGAAATGATTCCATCTAATTTTTATTAACCTTAAGTTATCGCTGAGAATACTCGTACGACAATAAATTGGGTCAATTTAAATAATGAAAGTATTATTTCAGAGGCGGTACCCATTCATCTCTGATAATAATGGACGGCAATGGAAATCAACTTACACATATCAAAGGTCCCGGTACAAATCATTGGGTAATGACCACTACTTAATTTTTAAAGAATCAAAAACTAGGAACCTTGCAATCACTGTACATTCTTAAATATTGACATTTTTAAAGATATAAGCTCATTCCAATGTTACACTCATCAAGAGCTTTCATTTGAGTATCCACTTGCATTTTTGATATATTTTTCATATATACCATATATATAATAAATATAAATATATGAAAAATTGATGTGGGTACTCAAATGAAAGGTCTTGATGAGTGTAACATTGGGATGAGCTTATATCTTTAAAAATGTCAAAAGTTTACGAGATACGTCATTTCTTAATTATGTTAAATTACACTGTACTTTCTTAAATATAGATATTTTTAAAGATATAAGCTCATCCTGATGTTATACTCATCGAGACCTTTCAATCGAGTACTCTCATCAATTTT